GGCACATTTCTTACCTTTTCCCTGCCTGCCTCTGGAATTGAAAATATTACCGACATCTTATGATTTTCAGGGTATCCCTCACATCATTCTACGGGATGGTGAAAAATAACCAATAGCCATGCTAGGGGCCTGGTGAAATAAACAAAGGTACAGCCCTGCTAAACTGAACGATGCAGATCAATACCTACTGACAGAAGAGCTGGCAAGGATATTTACAGGATGTTCAAGTGCAAAAAGCAAGTTAAAGCACTGTATCTCTATAATCTCTTTGGAAAACAAAGATATAAAAATGTGCGTTCCCTTCATGGGTATATACCCTGAAGAAAGTTTTGACCGTGTAACAACAAAGTTCATAGCAGCATTGCCTGAAATAATACTTAACTGGAAACAGCCCGTTTAGCAACAGGAGATTGAAATTTTTTTTACATGGTGGTATATTTACAGCATGGAATATTAAATAGCAGGGGGAAATGAATGAGCTGCAATGACAAGGATGAATCTTAGAGACATAAGGAATGAAAAAGACAAGTCTCAGACAACAAAGGAACAACATAATATATTGTTTGTGCATATTGCAGGCAGTAGGCCACCTCTCACAGCCGGGGACAAAAGATAGCTTTTACCTATCAGAGTGATTAAAGTTTTAAAAGCAAAAGTCAAAACATAGTTGTCTCCGTTAGGGAGGCAGGAAGGTAACAGGGATGTGAATTTCCAGTAGGGTCTGGTCATTTCTGTATACCACAACACTTAAAAAGATAGAAAAAAAAGATACATTAAAATAAGAAAATACCTTTTGCCTATCATAGTGATTAAAGTGTTAATAGTGATTATTTCTGGAATGATGAGATTATGGACTGTTTCATTTCTCTTTTGGCTTAACTGTATTTTCCAAAAAAAAATTTTTTTAAACATTTTATTTATTTATTTTAAGAGAGAGGAGAAGGGAAGGAGAAGAAAGTGAGAGAAATACCGATGTCCACTGATTCACACCAGCCAGGGCTCCAAAAATTTTAAGGTAATGGTTATACAATGTTTTTACATTAAAAACTTATTTTTTATAAAAAAAAACCTTTTTAGATTATATTTATTTTTAGAGAGAGGAAGGGAGGGAGAAACAGAGAGGGAAAAACATTGATGTGTGAAACACCGATTGATTGCCTCTTGCACACCCCCAGCTGGGACCTGGCCCACAACCCAAGCACGTGCCTTGACTGGGAATCGAACTGGCGACCTCTCGGTTCACAGGCTGGCATTCAATCCATTGAGCCACACCAGCCATGGCTGAAAACTTATTTTTTAACTCAGTTACAGGAAAGGAACTGCATATATAACATGATTTCTTTTTAAAAAAAAAATACAACTATCGCTGCGTCTATGTTTGCTAATGCACACAGATGGCACCTGGAAGAATCTACGGGGACTACCGGTAGTAGTTTCCCCTGGGGAGTGGACGTGGGGTGGAACGGGTGGGTGCTACCTTCACTTTTGCTTTATAAACTTCCAGGTTGTTTGCATTGGACTAATTTAATAAGTTAACACCACTTGGTTTTTAATTAAAACAAAAGGGGGTGGGGCAAGGCCCAGTGTCCAGGCTGTAGGGAAAAGGCCCAGCAGGTAGTGGGGGACAGTGGGGAGGGCTAAGGGTGGATCCAAGGCTTCCTGCTCCTCTGATGTCCACTTTCATCTGCTTCCTGAGCCCCAGCCCCAGGCCCACCCCTGGCCCTCCCTGGCTGAGCGCCAGCATGTTCAACCACAGAGCAGGGGCCATCGGGCAGGAATCCCTCTGGACCAGGCTGCTGGGGCTCAGAAAAGAGGAGCGCTTTGCCAAGGTCACCTGGCAGGTTGGAGGCTGCACCAGGGTGGGCCATCCTGTCCCCAGCCCTTCTCCCTGACCCAGGCCAATGCCCTCTGGACAAGAGGGTGCAGCACCCCAGCTCCTGGACCACATCCAGACCTGGAGCTCACTACTCAGAATGGTGAGGCCTCTGGGGCCCGGGCTGACTCCAAGAGGTTCTGCTATGGGGGCTGGCTTCCTTTTCCTGGGCCCTGAGGAACAGAGTGAGACATTAAATGGAGTCACTCTGGCCAAGCCGCTAAATTACTAAAATCCAGCAGGCTGAGGTATGAGGATATGATTCTCTTCTTGTTTTACTGGAAATTTAAACTCTGAAACTTTCCAGTCTTGCATCAATGCCTGCATAAACGTCAAATCTCCAGATAACCCTCGATCATGCCCTGAATACGGAAAGGATGTCCATGTAGCCAGATCATGTGACATCCTGTATCCTGAGCACCCGTCATGGAGGATTACCATCTGGCACCAATCCAGAGACTAAGAATGCAGAAGTGATTATTCTCAAGAATGTACTTTTTACTATAAAAACCCTCTGCTTTTCTTTCTTCTTTGGAATATTCTGGATATTGCCTGTCTTTGCAGTTTCCAAGCCCTAAGACTCTTGAATAAATGTGTATCATTTATTTCTAGCCAAAGCCTCCAAACTCTTTTTGAGTTCATCTGGCAGCCCCAAGAACAGTAACGACCACTTCAATAATAATGAGGGTAACGGCAGGTCCGCCCCTACCCTTGTGGCTCAGCTGGAGCATCCTCCTGCCAACAGAAGGGTTTACAGATTTAGCTGGCCGGTTTGGTCCCCAGCCAGGGCCTGTACGGGAGGCAGCCGAGATCGATGCTTCTCTCCTTCTCTTCCTCCCTCCCTTCCCTTCTCTCTAGAATCAATTTTTTATTTTAAAGAAAAGCTCCAAAAACAACAGCTCCATGTGTCGTGTGTTTTCTCCTGCGATAGGTATTTACATACACACTCACTGAATCCTTAAATAACCTGAGATGTTACCGTCTCTCTCCGGAGGGAGAAGTGAGGCTCAGGGTGTACACGGGTGCCTTAGCCGAGTCACCGCAAGCTGTTCTGCTGTGGAGCCTCGGGTCTGCCCGCACGCACACCAGGACCGTCACGGATGGGGGCTGTGGCCAACGCTGGTGCCCCCCCACCTCTGAGCCGCCCCCCAGCGATCTGGGGGAGATGGCCTCTGCTTCAACCCTGGGTGCCCCAGGGTGGGGGTCGTGGGTGTGACCTTCCTCTGGCCCTTAGCAACCTTTGCAATGTTAGGATATTCCCCTTCCACAGGGGCCTGGAAATGGTCCTGGGATCGCGCCTGCCATCCCGGCTCCCAATTTACAGAGACTGGGACCTGGGCCCATAGAGGCGAGAGGACTTGCCCAAAACTTCCCAGGGGGCCCGGGCAGAGCCAGAGTGGGAGCCAGGCACGTGGACTCCAGTCTCTCCCGCTCTGGGCAAGAAGGAGCCCAAGGGATGGGCACCTGAAGAGAGGCTGGTGAGAGCCGCGGGCAGGTGATGGCCGGAAAACAGTAGCTGCTCATAAGCACCTGTTTCCAAGACCTGGGCAGCGGGCCTGGAACCATTAAGTTCTTGGCTCTTCACAGGCACAGATGGGACTGGTCAGACAGGCCTAGGTGACACGGACATGGGTGCCGGCCCTTTCCTCATCTGGTTAGAGGTTTGGTGGGAGTTTCTGGCCTGGTCCCCAAGTTCCCTCTGAGGAGAGAGGCGCCTTCAGGCCACAAGGCTCACCTGGCTCCCTCTCTGGCCTCAGGAGGAAGTAGGCGCTGAGCTGCTGAGGGAAGAGGAGCCAGGGTGTGGGCAGAGGCCCGAAGGGGCTGCACACCAAGGTGGCCCCCACAAAGAGGAGGCTCCTGCCCCAACTCACCCTTTCCCCCGGAAGCACCAGGGACTGCAGTGGCAGAGAAGGGGGTCCGCGGCAAGTGTCCCGCAGGCCCGAACCAGTCACCGGACCAGCCAGGAGCCCTTGAAGGAAGTAACTGGCAGATGGCTCTTGCCAAGTCACAAAGCCCAGAAATTGGGCCAACCCAGCAGTAAACAACCCACCGAGGCGGGGCCAGGACAGATGTACCGGGACAGATACAGGGTGAAGCCAGGATATTCCGGGTGATGGAGGGAAAGGAGGTGGCCCCCTGATGGGAGTTTGAGTCCCATCAGAATCAGTGGACCTTGGGCTGTGGAGCCCAAGCGTGAGGCTGCGAGCAGGGAGAGCTGGAGGGGCTGGGACGTCTTCATGCCCAATTGTGACCACCAACCACGATGGCTGGGTGAGCAAAGGTGACCCCGCATATCAAGTGCCATCCCTGGGACAGGCACTTTACCGGTGCCATCTCTCAATTAGTATAATCCTGTGAGGTAGGGATGACGTTTTTACAGATGAGGAAACAGGCCCAGAAAGAGGCACTGATCTGCCAGGGTCCCACGGCAGGAAGCAGAGTCAGAAGGGGCAGAGTCTGACTCTGGAGGCCCCCCTCTGCGCCCAGCTCGTCCACCAGCCCTCTGCCTGCCTGGCTCCATCCCTCCCTTCCTTCTGCCCGACACCTGCTCAGAGACACCGCAGCTGCCAGTGGCTCCCTCCCACCACCGTGCCCCCCCGCCCTCCCCCCAGGGCTCTCCTCCCTCCTCTCATGCTTGCAGAACCTTCTGGGCCTGCCTGGCACTGGGTAGGGGGAGGAAGGGGACAGAAGGCAGTGCTATGGGCCAGATGCCAGGTCTCTAGACTCTCTTGAGGTCACCCAGACTCCCTAGCATGACCAGCCACATAATTTGTGGAGTCCTGCAAAATGACAAGGTACAGCTCCTTAAACTTAAAAAAAAAAAAAAAAAAAAAAAAGCCCCAGCTGGTGTGGCTCAGTGGACCGACTGCAGCCTGGGAACCCAAAGGTTGCTGCAGTCGGAGGGGTGTGAGAAACAATCGACGTTTCTCTCCCTCTTTCTCCCTTCCTTCCCTTTTCTCTAAACACAAATTTAAAAGAAAAAAACCAAACAACTTATTAGAATTTCAGGCATCCGCAGAGCATTGAGCTAAGCAAGCAGAGGGTTCCCCGGGGGCCAAGGCACAGGTCACACACCCATGAAGGGGCAGACTCCTGGAGCTGGGAGCTAGAACCCTGGGGCCCCGTCCCAGCTGAGCACCTGAAGTCTGGGAACCTGGCCCTCTGTTACTCCTTTACCTCCTGGGATGGTAAAGCCTGTGGGTTCATCCCAGTTCCTGGGTTCCGGGCCCAGACAGGCTCAGCTCTCAGACCTGGGACTCCATCCTGGCTCAGCCCCGTGGCTTCACCTCACCTGTCAAGTGGGCTAACAGGAGCCACCCTGCCAGGGTAGCTGCACACCCTTGCTGTTTGCCGGTGAGGCGGCTTTGCACGCTTCACAGGTGAGGAAACTGAGGCTCTGAGAAGGCAAGCCTCCAGCCTGCCCCCTCTTCCCAGCCTCTTTCTTGCAGTATAACCAACTCCAGAGTTAACAGGAAATTTAGCCCCAGCCGGTGTGGCTCTGTTGGCTGGAGCTTCATCCCATGAAAAAAGGGGTCACGGGTTTGATTCCCAGTCAGGGCACATACCTAGGTTTTGGGTTGGGTCCCTGGGTGGGGCACCTCCAGGGAGTAACTGATCGCTATTTCTCCCTCTTTCTTCCTTCTTCTCTCTCTAAAGTCAATAAATGTATTCTCGGGCATAGGAAATTTAACTGGCAAGGAATGTGACCCTGGACAGAAGACACGGCGTGGAGGAGTCTCCTCCCCACTGTGAGCCGTTCCTTCTGGGGCTCTGACCTGGTTTTTGAAGGGGGCAGGCTCTTGGGGGAGAAACGCACAGGCAGATTAAATGGGTTAGGGGAGGGGCCCAGCACTTGGCCTGCCTTCAAGTCAATAGGTTACGGGACTGTGGCAGGGACAGCGGCCCTAGTTCCCAGCCCGACACATAACCACACTGGAGACAGGGTTCCAGAAAACAGTTTACCCGTACACGCAAGGTGGCCCTGGCAGTCACAGTTCAAAGGCCCCTTTGCCCAACGAACCCCAAGCTCTGGGCTGCCCCAAGCAGGGCAACCAGCCTAGGAAGTGTGGCACCAAAAGCTTGGGGAGGGGGAGTGTGGAGAGGAAGGGCCATGGCTGGTGCAAGGTCAAAGGTTACAAAGCTGGTGAGTGGGGGGACCGTCAGACCTAGAGGCAAAGGCCACTGGACAGACCCCGAGGTGGGATGAACCCCGCAACTGAGATTCAGATTATTCAGGGAATGGGGATGGGAGGGGGGTACAAAGGTCACCATGGCCTCTCTCTTCTACCCTTCAAGTCTGGAGGCCCCAGATGGCTCCAAGTGTCCCCAGGGTAGGGCAGGAAGGAACCCTAGGTCCACCTGGCAGGCGGCAGAGGCAGGATCCATAAATTAAATGGTTTTGGCGGAGTGTGAGAGGAACGGAGGCCTGGAGAAGGCATCGTGGCCGGCGGGGCGGCGGGGCTACTGGGCCCTCCAGGAAGGGTGGGTGAACACGATGGGCCTCTTCTTGGCCCAGCGGGAGAACACAGCCTTCTCCGTGATGAAGCGGTGGGCGCTGCGGGGCGCCCGCTCATGTGCCAGGTACATCTGACACTCGTCCAGCCGGCCCTTCTCGAAGTAGTGATAAGGCACTGAGGGGTGGTTCTTCTCCCTGTGGGTGGGAAACAGGGACAGGTGTGGGGCACGAGAGCTCTCCCGCTGCCCGCCAGATGCCGCACCTACCTCGGCCATCCTCACCAGGTACCACGGGCCCACGGAGGCCCGTGCCTGGTCCCAGGGGAGCAAGAGCAGGCAGGGAAGGGGCAGGGCAGCTGTGGATCCCAAAGGCCAGTGTTTGAGTCCCAGCTCTGCCTCTTGCAAGCTGGTTGACAACAGGCCAGAGGCACGCCCCACATAATCTCCATAACCCATCTGTAAATCGGGAATGGCGATGTCCACCCTCCAGGCTGAGTCCATAGGTCAAAAAGACGAAGACCGCCCTGGCCGGGCAGCTCCGTTGGTAAGGTCATTGTACCGCTACGCCAAGGTTGCGGGTTAGATTCCCAGTCAGGGCACAGAGAAGACTCAACCAGGGAATGCACGAATAAGTGGAACAACAAATCGGCTCTCTGCAGATCTCTGTCTAAACTCAATTTAAAAAAAAAACAAAAGGTGAAGATCACCAAGTTCCTTGCTGGCGCTGGGCCCTGTGGCACCAGGGACGCAGGTGGGCTGGCCAGGTGCCTGAGCAGAGGGCACACGGGCTCCCGCCACCTCACCCCACGTGCTCAAGAAATACGTTCAAAACAGAAGAGAGGGTGAAACCACAGGACCCTTTGTGAACTTGATAGTTACCATAGTGTTGAAATATAATGTCGAAAGTAAAAACTGAGGCGTAATATATCACGGACATAGAATTGGTCCCAACATTGTAAGAAGTACTTCCATAGATTACTCTCTATGTAAACATTTCCATAACCTTCTGAAGAAGGTGTGATTATTTTCTGTCTTTCGCAATAAGGAAACGAAGGTTCTGGGAGATGGCGTGACTGGCCTAAGGCTATGCTGGCACAGCAGAGATTGGCATCGAGCCTGTCCCAGAGGCAGAGCCCCTTTCCCCTGGGCGCCCGCTCCAGGGACGCCTGTGCATCCGCCGCCCACCCGGAGGCTAACACACCCTATGCCCCACAGCTCCTTGATCCTTGGGCACCAGGGCCACGGCCCTCCCGGCCTCCCCAGTGCCCCTCTCGCCCAGGGCCTGGCTGGCCTGACCTGCAGTAGCTGTCGCTGACCATTCCATAGACCACGATCTCCTCGCATAGCTCCAGGGCAAGGATCATGGTGAACCAGCCGGTGCTGAGGAAGGAGCCTGACTGCCTCCTAGCAGGGAGGAGAAACAGAGTCAGCCCGGCCACCTCCCCTCCACTCAGAGCAAGGGGCCTGTGGAGCGTCCAGCTTTAGCTCCCTTAAGGCACTGCCCTGGCTACCCTCCTGGCCGAAAGCCATGCACCTGGACCCCTACCGAGAGGGTGCTGGCGGAGGCTGGGGAGGGGACAGAGGCGGTCCAAGGCCAGCAGCGGCCAAGGGGCAGAGCTGGACACAAGCCCAGGTCTGCGACTCCTCACTGCCCATGCAGGAATAGAGCAACCTCTGGACGATAGTGTGGGGGCCTGGGCCGCATGCTCTCTGGATCTAAGGGACCAAGCTTGAGGAGGCAGCGCGGGGCCGCAGAGCAGCGGCTGCAAGTGGGAAAGGGGGTTTCCCAGAGTCAGACGGTTTTCGATGAGAAGCCTGCACCTGCTCTGAGGTATCAGGTTGTTCACGGGCCTTTCCCAGCCTCAGTGGCCCGTCTGTGAGGTGGGGATAATTACAGGTGGCTGTGGGGAGGGAGCCCTGTCAGCCCAGCAGCCCCCAGGGTCTCCACGCCTAACTTGGAACAACGCACTGCGTGGCCGCCCCCAGCCCCACTCTCTGAGGACACCAGCTCTGGTGACTCTCCCAGCTGAGAGCCCCTCACCTCCACCTCTACAGAAGCATTAGGAGGTGGTTCATTCACTCAAACTGGGCACCTCTCCAGGCCCCGTGCTGGCCAGGACCTGCCACATCCAACGCTAACATTCTCAAAAGAGGCGGCTGCTAGGAGAGAACCGCTAAGAAGACAAGGAAACAAAGGAATAAAGAGTATCAGGTGGGAGGCGGCCACCAGGTGGCGCGGTCAGGGAGGGCTTCTCGGCTGAGGTGACATTCCACCCAGGCCTGAATAGCAAGAAGCGGTCAGGCATTGGAGGTTTAGGGGAAGAACATCCTAGGCGGAGGGAACGATGTATGCAAAGGCATGCAGGTGACAACCAGTGTGGGTGTGTGAGGAAGCACAGGCGGCCAGGAAGGCTGGAGCCGTACAGGAAGGGGCCAAATCATACAAGGCTTGTAGGCCGGGGGAAGGGAGGGGGTGGGAGTCCGGACTTTATTCTCCACGTGAAGAGAAGCTGCTGTAGGGCTGGGGGCAGACGGCTGCTGGGGTGAATTCACTGGGGTGACTGGAGCTCAGGCTGCAGGGCCGGCAGGGGCACCAGCGAGGCAGGTGCTGTCAGGGCAGGGGAGGGTGGTGGCACCCGTTGGAGATGCAAGGGCCCATTGTATGTGGCAGGCGATGGACTGAGGGGAGTTGGGTGGAACCCTGGAGGCTGGCAGCTGTATGTCCTGAGCTGTGGGGCAGGGAAGGGATAAAATGGGTGTTGAATGGAGAGTGCCCGACCCAGGCCCGGTGCATGAAGAGGGCTGCTGGTGCTCTAACTGTTTCTTTTATTTCCTGGAAGGGACTTCAGAGGCCAATTCATCTCTCACAGCATCCCCTCCAGAGGGAAGAGCTCCCTGATGCTGTCCCCGCGCTGGTCAGCGCTTACGAGGCCCAATACCCCTCACCGCCATGTGGGATCGATCTCTGTGATGATGTGATGAATGACAGTCTCTCCGTTTACTGCTCCCTTCAAGGGGGCTGGACCACTTGGCCTCCATCACTGCTGACCCCCGGCCCCCAGGGAGAACCCAGCAGGCAGGCGAGCTCACCGGTTCTTGCCAGTCTCGTCCTGGAAGACCTGGTCGCAGTAGGCCATCATGCGCTCGGTGAAGGTGTATACCTGCAGGCCCGGGTACATCTTGGTGAGCTGCAGCAGCGTGCGGTAGGTGCGGCCGCCCAGCACGCGGTCCATGTTCTTGCCCTGGCCCCACACCACGTAGAGCGTGTCGCGGGCCTGCTGGAAGTAGTGCGAGTAGTTGCGCAGCAGCAGCGGCACCGTCGTGTGCGAGATCACGCGCAGGGTGCTGCGCTGGCCCACGTCCGCCTCAAAACCCACGGTGGGCGCCTGGTTCATGCGCAGCACACACTCAGCACCATCGATCTGGGCGCCCAAGCCCGAGCCCAGCATCTGGCCAGAGCTGGACACCACGGCACAGCTGCGGCATGGCCCCCGGACCAGCGGCTGCAGGGGAAGGAGAGAAAGAGAAAGGCATAGGCCCCTGTTCCTTCCACCAGGCACTCCCACTGACCTCACGTGACCTCATATCAACTTGAAGTACTTTATTAATCCATTTTACAGATGAGAAAACGGAGGACCAGCAGGTGGAGCTAGCAGCAGAGCTGAGGTTCTACATTAGCCATATTTGCAACCCTCGTCCAGTCTGCTGAGACCCTAATGAACCCTTTATCATGAAGTCGCCATTAGGATCACAGGAGCAAATATTTATAAAGCACTTGGAGCAGCACTTGGTACAGACTGGGTGTCGCCTCTGGGTTGTTAAGTAAACATAAACCTCAGCTCTTCAAAACCACTCTAGGTCATTCTTTCGTCTGCCTGAGCCTCACGTCTGTGTCCAGTTTAGAAAGTAAAAGCAGAGTCAGTCTTTAGTGCCAGGACAATGCTGGGAACCCCTGGCTCGCACCCTGAATTCCCACTCTGCCCCGCCTGGCTGTATGGCCCTGGGATAGTCCCTTTGTCTCCCTGACTTTCAGTTCCCTTATGTGTAAAATGGGGATAAAAATAGCATCTGCTTGACCAGGTTGTGAGGATTCAATTGAAAAAGCCTAGAGATGCCCTGGCTGGTGTGTCTCAGTGGACTGAGTGCCAGACTGCAAACCAAAGGGTTGCCGGTTCAATTCCCAGTCAGGGCACAGGCCTGGGTTGCAGGGTCCCCAGTAGGGGGCACCTGAGAGGCAACCACACATTGATGTTTCTCTCCCTTTCTTCTTCTCTAAAAATTAATCAATAAAATCTTTAAAAAAGAAAATACCAAGCCAAACAGAAAAACCCACGCCTGGAGAGTTGTGGCACAGAGCTAGGGCACAGCGAGGGCCCAACCTCCACCTCATTATCCTCCAAGAGGCAGAAGCTGAGCCAACCAGCTTACAAACGCCTACAAATACTCACTCAGGGTCAGGGGTCAAGTCTCACAGGAAAGGACTTGTCCCCGACCCCAGGCCTCTGTGCCCTCCCTCTGTGCCCTCCTGGGGGAAGGCGGGCTTTTAAAGCCCTGTAAAGGTTATGGAACATTAATTCCAGTTAATAAAGAACACGCTGTCACATCCCACTCAGGGACATTTCATATCTAACATGGAGACTGGAGAACTTGTAGGACCATTTTCCAAACCCCAGCAATAAAGAACAGGACATCCTTCTGCCCTTAGTTTGAGCCTGTCCTGACGACTGGGGTCTGTTCAGATCCAAGGTCACCAGCAGCCCCCGGAAGTGTTCTGCTTGTCCTATGCAAAGTCTTTAAAATATTTAATTAATCCCTACTTTATAAAAACCAGCCTTCCTGACATTCAAGACTTGGACTTCCTGCTCCTCTTAACAAACACAAAGGTTCTGGCCACCCTGAGCCCACATGCCCATCCACTCTGAGTGTCTGAAATGAACACTGGTCACCGCCATGAAAGACGGGACAGGGCCCACCCAGCCCTCCTCAGCATTTGTTCCACCTGGCCAAACTTGTGGGGCACTCGAGTTCGTGTGCCGCCTCACTGTTTTTGCATCCTGATCAAGTATTTATACGGCACCTGTTCTGAACAGGGCCTATGAATCACCCAGTTTGAACCTTCACAGCAACCCTACAGAGAGGGGAACTTCAATGACCACCCTTTACGGATGAGGAGGCAACTGAGACTCAGAGGAATAAAGACCCAAAACTGGTCTCCTCCAAGCCAGGGTCCCTGAGCACAGCTCCCTCTGATCGACACTCAGAGAGCCATCCAACTGAGAACTGGAAGCGTCATGAGCTGCGTGTCAATACAGGACGCTTTTGAGACACCTACCACGTGGGGCCACTGAAATCAGGGTGGGGGGAAAGAGTTGTGAACCTCCCCATGCAGGGCTGGCATGGGGAGGGAGCACCGCAGGGCAGGGGCACAGCCACCACGTCACCCTGGGCTCCAGCAGCCAGGCAGTATTGCTGAATGAAAAAACCCATTTCCACCCTGATCTAGTGTAGCTCAGGGGGTTGGGCATCGTCCCGCAGACTGAAAGGTCACCAGTTCGATTCCGGTCAGGGCACATTCCTGAGTTATGGGTCAAGTCCCTGGTTGGGGGCATGCGATAGGCAACCGATAGGTGTTTCTCTCACACATCAATGTTTCTCTCCCTTTCTTTCTCCCTCTCTTCTCCTCTCTCTAAAAATGAATAAATAGCCCTGGCCGGACCAGTGGGTTGTCAATTCGGTTCCCAGTCAGGGCACATGCTTGGTTTATGGGCCTAGGTCCCAGTTGGAGGCACATGAGAGGCAACCGATTAGTGTATCTTGTACATTGATGTTTCTCGCTCCCTTCCCCTTTCTCTAAAAATAAATAAATAAAATCTTAAGGAAACAAAACAAAACCCCTTTCCTCTTAGAAAATCCATGGGGACTTGGTTTTCTTTTCCCTCCCTTCCCCTTTCTCTAAAAATAAATAAATAAAATCTTAAGAGAACAAAACAAAACCCTTTTCCTCTTAGAACTTGGGGCTTAGAGAGGTGAAGTGATTGTTCAGTGTCGCACAGCTGATAAGGAGAGGAGCCCAGCCCAGACCCAGGCTGACCTGGCCTGTAATGACCGGTTCCCATTACGCCCCAGAGAGTTGGGGGGCACCCCAGCACCTTTGGCCTGCCCCCAACATACTGCCTGGCTGACTCACCTTCCCATCCGGCACTCTGCTATATCCACTGAAGTGCAGGGGTCCTGGCACAGTGGGCCTGGAGCTGGTGGAGAGGCGGGAGCCCAGGCAGGAGGCCATGCAGAAGGGCAGGCGGGCCCAGCAGCAGAGGAGGATATAGGCAGCGGAGAAGCCCAAGGAGCACAGGATGACGAGCAGGAACCGACCCTGGGGAGACGGCAGTCATAAGTGAGGGTCGCTGGGGCTCCTAGAAGCTTCTACAGGGGCTGCACCCCAGCCTCATGGGTGCAAACTCCAGCTCAGTAGCTTGTAGAACATCAGCAGAATCTAAAGTCTCCTTCCTCTGGGCTGCCAGGCTCAGAGTACAAGCAGCTCTGGAGATGAGCCCTATATTCTAGAGAAAACCAATTCAGGGTCAAGTGTGTAACTCAAAGCCACACGGCAGGAAAACGGCAGGGTGAGTCCTCAAATCCAGGCTGCAGAGCCCATGCTCTTAACCAGAAGCCCAAGCGCACTGTGCAGCCTTGGGTGCGACTCTCTACCTCTGGGCCTCTTTCCTTCTCTACAAAATAGGGGCCAATAACACCCGCAGTGTGAATGTACAGCAGTGAAAGTGCTCCGTATACTGGAAAGTGCTGTGCACACCAGGATGGGAGAGTGCCCATCGGCAGGGCAAGCAGCCCCCTCCAGACCCTGGGCTGAGGCTGCCAGTATGACTGTGCCCCATCCCCGCCCCCCTTCCCCCCAGCTGACTCAGTGGCAGTCTGCCAAGCTGGTGATCATGGTCTGGGCCAGCAGTCTAGGTGAGTAAGGCGATCAAGAAGGATGTGAGGGATGTGTCATTCATGAAAGGGTTTCAACAGCTGAAAGCTGCTGCCCAGGGCCTCTGCCTCCAGAAACCATGTACCAAAGGCCATGGTTCTGAAGAGCCCTCCTGGAGGCCTGGCCTTGCTGGCAGACTTGGTGATCCCCCCACCAAGCCTTCAAAGAGGGACAGTCTGGTTTGGGGGTGGAGGGGTCACGACTCAGGGCTGCCATCCTGTGCTGGGCTACTGGGCTACTCTGGTCACCACCTGTGTCTCTCTTGGCTCTAATTTTCTCCAAGCCTTTCAAGGCACTGGTCCCTCAGCCACGTGTCTGAAACCACCTAGCAGCTGACTGGTGCTCTTTGAAAGCCAGATGTGGAAAAGCTGCCCCCCCCCTCCCCGCACCGCCCAAGGCATATCCTAATGCGGCACAGCCATTTCTGCCCATAAACCATATCGCTTCTACACAAATCTCTGTGTGGCCAGCTGGGGGGTGAAGTGGGGAATGTACAGTCCCTGAGGACTCAGGCTTTGCCTGGTACATGGTGCCCCGTGCACAAGGGACCCAGAGATCTCGGTTCAGGCAGTGGTGGTCGACTCCTCCAACATCCAGGACTCTCTCCCGCAACCAGGGGCTCCTGATTCAAGTCAAGAGCAGCTAAACTGAACTTTCATACCATAGCCCACTCCCAGGCAGGTGGCGGCACCTGGGTGGCCTCTGGGATGCTCACAGGAGGTAGTACTATTATCTCCATTTACAGGGGAGTGGGGCGAGGGGCTAGAGCCAGGTGGGGACACCACCTGTCTGTGGCCACACAGCCTGCCAGGTCAGAGCTGGACCTCGAGGCCAGTCTGCCCTTCTCCTCAGCTCAGGAACAGCGGGATCAGAAGTGACAGTCAGCCCTGGGGTGGGTGAGGCTACTGAGGCTGCTATGCCAGAAGCCACCTCCGAGTCCCCTGGGAGCTTTTCTTTTTCCCACTTACCTGAGCCTTCATGCTGTCACTGCCACTCAGCAGCTAGAGAGCTGCTGTCTCCAGGGCTGGGAAGGGGTGGGAGCCAGGCACCTGTCAAGACCCAGAAACTCAGAGCTGGGTCCCAGGCCTCAGGGGAAATTGCCCAGGGAAACTAAGGGAGGGGAGGCAGGGTATAAGCTGGGGTCAAGGCAAATGGCTTCTGAACACCTAAGTCCCCAAACACCAGACAGCACAGATCCCGTCCTTAAGGAGCTGGAATCGTGACCTTTGGGAACACTTCCCCCAACCGGAATCCCATTGTGTAGATGAGGAAGGAGAGGCAGAGAGAGGGAACCCTGATGTCAAGGTCACCCATCAAGTCTGGGCCAGACAGAACCAGGAGCCAGGAGCTCCGACTCCCGCCCGCCCTCCTACCTCTCTACAAGCGGGACGTGGAGAGGCCGGGGGTAAGAGAGCGGGATTTCCGCCCCTCTCCCCGTTTCAACCGCCCCCTCCCCCAGCCGGGAGCTAACCGGGCGGGCAAGTTGGGACGCGCCGGTGGCTCTCGATCCGCTGCTCGGAGCTCCATGGCCCGCGGGCCGGGCGAGCCGGGCTGGAAGCCGGAGCCCCGGAGCAAAGGCGGCGCCGTGGCCGCGGCTCCAGGAGGCTGGCAGCCCTAGCCGCGCTGCCCGAGGCGGGAACAAGGTCTCTTCTGGGAGGGGACTGGTGTGGGCGGGGCCTGAGCGTCGGAGGCGGAGCCTACGAGCGAGGCCTGCGCGGGTAGGGAGGGAGCTGCCCGGAAAGCCGGGCCCGGGGGGGAGGGCGGGACCTGCGAGGCCGGAGGCGGGCCTCTGCAGCGGAGGGTGGCGGGGTGGAGTCTGAGCTCAGCGTCCCCATCTTTTCTGTCCTTGCCTATTTGTCTAAACTCCTTCCCAAAATAAACTAACAAACAAAATAGAAACATACTCATAGATACAGAGAATAGACTGATTGCAGAGGGGAGGGGGTTGGGGAGCCGGGAGGAAAATAAATTCGATTTAAAAATAAAAATAAGTAAAATAAATACCCTCTTGCTCAGGCTAGGAGTGGGTGGCCCGTAGTAGAAAGGCCAGTCCTAGAGAATGTCAGAACCGCTACACCGTGGCTGCCTGGCCGTCCAGATTGGAGTTTCTCCATTTCTGAAATTGGGGGACTGGTAGGAAAATTAAACAGGAGTTGGGGTCAGGCAGCCCTGAGTTTCAAGCTGTTAAGGTTGTTAGATTTACCAAGTAAAATACGGGACACCCAGTTTCTTTGGAATTTCAGATAAACAACAAATAATTAGAAATCTGAAATTCCAATGAACTGCGCATTCTACATTTTCTGTGGCAAACCTATTTGGCTTGTCTCTGACAGTGTGACTGTCACCTGAGCCTCAGCTCTTCTCCTCTGTGAAGGTGGGGATAACACCTCCTAGTGAGATCGTGCAAATGCGGCTTGTGGCAGAGTCGTGATTCAAACCCTGGGCAGTCTCATTCCAGAGCCAGGGCTCTGAGGATTGACTTTCACTTCCCAACAGCCCCTTTCCAAAGTGTCCTCCAAATCCAAGACAACTCAGTCCAGGGCGCTTGCAAATGCTGAAATGTGTTCCATGTGAAGGTTCAGCAAGCACTTCAAATTCAAGTGCTTTTAGGGGTCAGAGAGGGTTGAAGGGGCAGATATCGGACAGTAGGGATGGGTAGGCCTGTGGTGTAGTGGATTTCATTTACTTATTTTTAGAGAGAAGGAAGGGAGGGAGAAAGAGAGGGAAAGAAACCTCGATGTGCAAGAGAAGCATCAACTGCTTGTCTCTCTCACGTCCCCAGTTGGGGACCTGGCCCAATTGAACCAGCGACCTTTCGGTTCACGAGCTAGTGCTCAATCCACTGAGCCACACCAGCCAGGACTAAAGTGTTTTGTTTTGTTTGGTTTTATTTTTTACAAAATACTTCACAGGCCAGAAAGCTCATTTTACCACCCATGCCACACCCACCACACCCACCTCCCTCTGCAGAGCCCTGGCCTGGGAACCAGCCTGTGCTCCTGCCCCATTCCAAGGTCCAGGTGCCCATTTCTCAGAGGCTCTGGTGTGGGCCCAACTTCAGGGTATTCATTTGGGTATCTGCACCCAGTTCAGTAACTTCCCAAGGATCCTCTGCTCCAGGTGCAAAGCCAAGTCCCCCAAGCTGGTGCTCTAGGCCCCTGTGTCGCTCCCCATCCTACTGAAGTGGCCCTGCCCCTAGGCTTCCTTTGAGCACAAACTCTGCTTGTCCCCTCCCACCCCACCCTGGGCACACCTCAAGGGTAATGGTCCAAGTCATTCCCTCTCTATGGCCCCTCATTCACACACGGCAAGGCGCAGTGGGTGCCCAAATCCAGTGCCCCTCAGCCTCCTGGGGTCCTCATCTGTCAATTTTCTGTTTTCATAGACCCAACCCCTAGGGGGCAATGGTGAGAAGTTCCCTATGGATTCCTTTGTCACCCACTATGGCTGGTGAAGTGGGGAGTCCTTCCCCAGAAAGGCAGCTCCCTCCTTGCCAGGGCTACCCCGCGACAGGGGCATGCCCAAACGTCCTGATCTCCCAGAGCAGATGAGGGCCAGACCTCTCCAGACTGACACCGGGAAGTCCCATAGTTTCAGATGAAGCTCTTCAGTTTGGTTCTGGCAAAAGCACGCTCTCTTGACTCTGACCAAGTCCCTACGCAGTCTGAATTCCTGCCTCCCACTTAACCCCCTTCGCCCACTTGGGCCACGCTGCCAACCCCCAATCACACTGAGCTCATTTGTACCTCAGGGACCCACACCACGTAGAGTGTGTCGCGGGCCTGCTGGAAGTAGTGCGAGGAGTTGCGCAGCAGCAGCAGCACCATCGTGTGCGAGATCAGTTGCTGTGTCCTCTACCTGGATTGCTCTAGTCACATGGTCAGCCCCTTCTTGTCATTCAGCTCAAACGTTACCGCCTTGCCAACCACTCTGTCTGACACTGCACCCCCATCCTTGCTGTCCCACCTTGACTTATCTTTTTCAAGTATCGTCACACACGGAAATCGTCCTGTGTATTATGGTTTTCTTGCTTGTGGTCTACCCACCTATTAAGACTCTAAGCTCCGTGTGGCCCGTCAGGCCAACCGTGTCTTCACGAAAGGCATCCCTAGCACCTGCGCAGTGCCTAGCACACCCGTCTGCTGAACGAGCAAGTTAGGAAAGCCAGGAGTCCCAGGCCCTATGAGATCTTGGACAAGTAATTTCCCTGTCTAGCCTCAGGCCATTGCCAGAGACCCAAAGGGAGTGAGGGGCTGAGCCATCCTTATCTGGGAGTGCAGGACTCTGGGGCTCTGACTCAGCCCTGTGGATCCAGACCCCAGGGAGATGTGGAGCCAAACCCCGGTTTCCTGCTGTCCTACGCTACCACGCCTGAGTTTCCACAACCCACCCATCTGCCGGGTGGCTGCTGAACTGAGCACACCCGCTGCCTCAACTTCCTGTTGAGTCAGAACAAGAAATTTTCTCTGGTTTGTGTTAGCTCAGAGAGATTGTCACCAAAGGTCACCCAGATATCTAGGGGTGATGCCAATTACGTATCTCTATTCATGTCTATATCTACATCTCTGTCTGCGCCTCCAGGAACCCACACTCCAGGCCCACAGCACAGGCTTTCCTTTTCCTCTCCCTTCCCCATAGGCCATTTTTCTTCCTTTTCTCTGAAGATCAATGGAGTGGCAGGGTTTGGTGTAGCTGAGCAGCTTTCCCAAGGTCCAGAGTCATCCAGTCCTGGGGGTCAGCTCTTGGCCCACACAGCCCCCTCGCCCCCGCCACTGTCTGCATCCACCCTCAACTCCGACCACAGGGACATGTTTATCTCAAACGCCACAGTCTCTCCCACCACAACCCTCTGCTGCTGTGCCCTTAGCCTGGGACCCGCCCAGGGCTGCACCTGACTCTTCTGCTCTCAGTTTAGCAGTTAGAAACCCCCCTACCCCTCCTACACTTAGGAGGGGGCCCCTTCTCCGAGCGCCATGGCCCCACACTCCTTCACAAGGCTTAGTGATGCCAGGTTGCTTTCATCACCGCCACCACCCACCAGACTGTGAGTCCTGCGAAGCTGAAATCTGTGCATCTTGCTCCACCCCCAGGTCGCCAAAGACCAGCAGAGGGCCTGTCACATAGCAAGTGCTCAATAAATAGTTAATGAGTTCAGGAGGTCCATTTTCATTTTTTCCATCTTACAGATTAGATCACCGAGGCACAGAGAGGGTTAGCACCTTGCCCTGGTCACACAGCCAGGCCCCAGAGCAGCACCAGAGGAAAGGCCCACTTGGGCGCGGTCAGGCTGGACTGGCGTGAGAGGCCGGGCTGCAGCCTCCTGGAGGAGGGAGAAGGGGTGACCAGGGGCTACGGAGGCAGTTCGCTTCTCTGCTCCTGGTGATGTCTGTTGGGCCAGGGCCCTTGGTCTTCCCACCAACTCCTGCCCCCCTTTCTCAGATGAGAAAAGTGACTATTAGAGGAGGGCAAAGATCAAGAGTGGACCTCAAATGGTGCATCCCAGAGCTGCAGGAATGAGAGCGCCACCCCAGAAGGAGATCAGCGGGCCCTCCTTGAACCAGGGGGAAGGGTAGGTAGGCCTGGGTTCTCGGGCTGGCCTTGCCACCTACCTGTGCATAAGCCCCTTTAAAGTCTCTGGGCCTCAGTTTCCCCATCTGGACAACAAAAGGCCTGGGCTGGAGCCAGCAGCCTCCCCCCTTTCCCAGGGCATAAGGACAGGGCTGTAGGAGCTGATGAGTAAGAATATAGGCTCCTGAATCCAAAAGGCATAGTTGAATCCTCGTTCCAGCATTTATTGCTGAGTAAGCTTGCTCAGTCCCTTCACCCCATGAGCCTCCATTTTGTGGCCTGTAAAAAGAGAATAATAGTTTTTTTGTTTGTTTGTTTGTTTGTTTTTGCAGATTAAAGGAGCTAATGTGGGGAGTCCCTGGCACAATGCCAGGCACAGCTTCGCCTTCTAATGAGGTCGTGTCATATTAGTTAGGGAATTCTGCCCTCTGGGGGCCAGCTGCAGGAACAGCAGGCGAGGGAAGCCTGACCCAGTGCCCTGATCAGGCTGGAACACGCATTCCAAACGTGCACCCATTGTCCAGATAGGGAAAGCTCTGCCGGACGCCGATCACTCGGTGTGTGCCTCCACCCACTGGCAGAGGCGACGGGCGTAGAGAGCCGGGCTGACGGTGGAGAAGGTCCGGTTGGGGTAGCGCAGCATCTTCCACAGGTGCTCCAGCCGCTTGCGGAGCCCATAGACGGTGGCGAGGTCCACGAGACCTAGGAAATAGCGTTGCTCCGGGCCGTCCAAGATGTGAAGGGCGTTGGGGGTGTCGGGCAGCAGCCGGCGGTTCTGAGCCTCGGGCTCATCCGGGCTCTGCACCCCTTGCACAGACCTGGGGGACAATGGGGGGGGGTGAAGCTGCCACCTCCTGCAGTGGGCCCCAGCCAATTGACCCTGTAAGCATGGCCAGGCTGCCCTTGGGGGTCCTAACCCTAGGCGGGGCCTACCTGGCTGTGCGGAAGACGAGGCTGCCTTCGCCCCTCTCGTCCTCCTGGAGGCGCTGGAAGGCCATCAGGAGGCTGTAATCCAGCACGTTGAGCTCCCGGAGGAAGGTGGTATCCAGTTCCATCTGCCGGAGCAGCCAGCTCCTCTGGGGCCCTGCTGAAGCATCAGCGCCCCTGCCTGAGCGCTCATCGTGTGCCAGGCAAGGTGCTGAGGGCTCCACACGCATCTGCCCCAAGAGGGCAGGTGTCATTACTGCCCCATTTCACAGGTGAGGAAACTCATCTGTAATTGGCCTTGGTCACCTAGCTAGCAAATTGTGGAGCCAGGATTTGAACTCTGCTCTACCTGACTCCAGAATCTTGGTTCTTAATGACATGGGCAGAGGGCAGTGCCAAGGACACCCTCTTCACTTCAGCCTGAATGGGGGAAAGAGCAGGCAGTGACTGCCCGTGGCTCACCCAGGTTGATGGTCTTGCCCTGAAAGTTGAGGTCCTTCAGCACCAAGACAATGGGGCTGCCCTCAGGGGCCGGCTCCACCCATCGGCTCACCTCGCAGCCCTTGATGTCATACCTGCAGGCGAGGGGAGTGGGAGGACGTGACCGAATTCAGCTTCACACAGACTTGAGATACACAAGGACTTGCACAGGTAAATAATAAGAAATGAGGGGAAAAGAAAAGAAGCTTCCACTAGGTAACTGTTCACATCCTCAGCACAACCCCATTCTATTGTTATCCCCATGCTAGAGATGAAGAGAAAGGCTCAGAGAGCTTATCTGACTTGCCCAAGACCGCACAGTAAGTAAAGAGCAGGGCAGGGACTTGAACTCAGGCCTTTGGAAGCCCGGTCCAGGCTTTACCCCTGCCTGTGCCTGACTCTCGGCACCTAGTTATCCCTGGGGGTGTCCCAGGCACAGGGCTCCAACCCTAGGAGGCCCTGAGGGGACACTAACAGGGAGCCATAATGAGGACAGAGTCAGGACTGGGAGACACTTGAAGGCGGGGCTTGAATCCCTGCTCTTCACATAGCAGCTCTGTGGCCCTCCCTCTGTTTCTCATCTACAAAATGGGGATGATAACAACTCCAACCCCTCAGAGTTGTTATAGGAATAAAGGTTATGAAGAGCGAATGTCCCAACACAGCGTCCAATGCATAATGAGTGCTCAAGAGATGCTGGTCGTGGGTATCACTGCCTCTGACCCATCAGGGGATCCTGGGAACGTTCCTTCTCCTTGGGCCTCAGTTTCACCATCTACCTAGTGAGTGTGAGTCCTTCTGGTGGCACCTTCCGAGGGGGACCGAGGCCCTGCGAGGCTGACTCACCTCTCAGAGATGCGGCCAGTTGGATAGAAGACACTCTGCATGATGATGAAGTATTTCTGGGGACAGGGGTAGGGAGTGAGGAAGGACAGGATCCCACCCTGCAGCTGCCCCCTCCGGCCCGGGCCCCCTCGCCTCGGCCTCACCCACCTTCTTGCCCCGGGCCACCCGCAGACTGTGCACTCCTGGAAAGGGAGAGGACACTGGGTGAGGGGCCCCAACTCTGCAACCCGGGATCCAAATCGTCCTAGTCAGCTCCAGGCTGCGCCTCCCCGAGTTCTGCAGCATCCCAAGCCTGCCCGTCCAGCTGTGGCACCAGACCCTTTCCTCAAGGTGGGTGTTCGACTCCACTGGCTCTAAACTCAGCCCCAAAGAGGCCCCGCCCACATGCCCTCCCCAAGGATTGTCCAATCCCAACCCTGCCTCCTCTGGCCCCAGCCCATCAGTCCCATGGTCCCCCTAAACTGCCACCTAGGGCCGCCAAGTAGCGAACTCTGCCTGCAGTTGGATCCACCTCATCCCGTCTCCTTCACCCAGCTAGGTGCAGGTACTGTGCGCCCGCATCCTGGAGCCGCCCCATTCCCTGGCCCCCTCCCCTCCTCGCTCTCTTCTTCACCCCTTCCCTCCACCCCTGCATCTCCCCTCCCCCAACCACCCTGCAGTCCCGGGTCCCTGGCTGGCCGTACCCAGCAACCGAGCCAGCAGTGAGTGCGGGTGCCGCTGCAGGTGCTGCACGTAGCGGGGCAGGTGGGCGAGCAGCGCCCGCACCTCCCTGCGCCTCAGGGTCTTCAGGAAGAAGCGCTGGTCGTGGCTGGGGGAAGGGGAGCAGGAGGGAGAGGTCACTGCCTAGGCCCGGTTGGAGTGGCTCCCACCAGGCTCCCTGACCTCTTCTGACCATGGTGGCTCTGTCTCCCCAGGGCCAGGCCCTTGCCCTCGGTCTCTTCTCTGACCTCTACCTGGCTGGGACCCTCCCTGACCTGGCCATTCTATTTCTCTCCCCAAAAGCCACCCTCCACCCCAGGACGCCACCTCCACCCCTTCCCCACCCCTGCTGCCAGCTCACGACAGGAAGAAGCTGGCCTTGCTCTTGGAGGTGCTCAGGAACTGCAAATAGGGGCTGCCGGGCCCCAGGGCAGCCTGGTAGTCCTCCTCAGCCAGGCCTAGGGAGTGGCGCAGCCAGGCGAAGGCCGGGCCAGCCAGGGTGCCCAGCTCGAAGCCCTGCAGGGGAGGAAGAGCAGTCCCAAGTGTGTCCATTGGGGCCCAGGTGTGTGCAGCTGGCCCTAGGGCGGGAGGGGCAAAGGGAACCACACCCTTCCTGAAGGCCCTGAGGCCCTGCACCAGAGGGGACACTGGGGAGAGAGGACTAAGACTATCCGCCCCCTCCATGCAGAGTCTGAGGCTTCCTACCTCGTGAACCTGGGTCAGGACCTCGGAGAAATCCTCCTCCGTGGGCAGCCCCTGCAAGGAGGGGCCGAAGCACTCAGAGCAAGTCTCCACTCCCCATGTGTTCAGCACCTGGCCTCACCCCTTCTCCCAATTTGACTCCCCCAGCAAACAGGGACTGCCCTGGGTGTGCGCGAGGTGGGCAGATGGGGACTGCAGATGTCCCAGAGCTGGAGGGAGGATGAGAGTGACCTGAGGCAGGTCCCGGTTATGTCCCCTCCAGAGCTGGGTCCCTAGCACCTGGCACATTCGCCCAGATACGCACATTGGCCAAGTGAAGCTGGATGCCATCCCGGTAAAAGGGGATGGCTGTGAAGCCAAGGGACCTGCCTGAGTCAGCCTAGGAGGGGCAGGATCAGAGGCTCCCGGGAGGTGACCTGGAAGGTGAAAGCTGAAGGGTAGTGGAGTGGAGGGGGAGGGTGCTCAGTGCAGTGAGAGCAGCACCGGAGGCCACCAGGAAGGGAAGGAGGGCCCGAGTGGCTGAAGTGAGGAAGGGACGGACGGAGTGGGAATTAGGCTGGACAGCTGGCCCCTGGGCTTGAACCAGCAGGATCCTGAGGCCACAATATCTATCGGGGATCCATGGGAGATTATCAGCATGAGTAATGAGGTCAGGCTGTGATGTCCAGCCGGTGATGAGATACAGAGGACTCCCCCTCTGGCTCCTACCCTCTCCCTGCCCCTCTAGGTCCTTGTACCTGTGGAATGTGATCACACTGTGCACACACACAAACAACACACGTGCTCGCCCGGGGCCCGTCCAGCTGCTGAGCTTGCGGTCGGGCAGCCCTTTCTGCTGAGCCAGCCTGGCCCTGGCCTGAGCTCCTGGGAGGATGGGTCATGCTGGCGGGGCAGGGGTACGGTCCCTTCTCAATCACATACCCTGGCAGAGCTGGGGGGCCCCAGAGATCAAGGAGTAGAATACCATCCCCCTCCAAGTTACTATACGTTACACAGATGGGGACACTGAGGCCCAAAGACAGGCAGAGGCCCATCGAGAGCCACACAGCAACCACCTGAGTTGGGGGGTTCCTCACACCCCAACATGTCCAGGACTTTCTGGCTTCCAGGCCTCTTCTCCAACCCCAGAACATCCTTCGCTCCCTGTACCAAGCCCCGATTTCTTCCCCTTTCTGATCCCCCACTCTACAGTGTTAGCAAGACAGGGTGTCAGCCTGGTCTTGCCCTGGGTGCGCAGAGCAGACTGGCCACTCACCCTGGGCGGGTGGTCCATAGAGGCCTGGGTGGCAGCCCACAGCCCTGCCTGCATCATACACGTCAGCCGGTGCAGCTCATGCCCCGGGCTGATCTCGAACAGGCCCAGGCGCAGCTGTTTGTCTCGTAGGCGCCAGAGAAGGCCGCGGCGGCCGGAACTTGAGGTAGCTGCTTTGCGTCCAGCCTCTGGGGAGAGGGCCAGGACCTGGTGGCGGAAGGCACAGAAGCAATGAGCACGTGGCAGCATCACAGAGGGGAAAGGCAGGGCTGTGAGTCCCATCTCCACGACTCTGAGCCTTCCTCTGCCTCAGTTTCCTCAGTTGTAAAATATGGACAATCCTGGTACCCACCTCACTGGTTGTTGTGAGGGGCCACACAGTCCCTGGCATGCGATCCGCCCCCCAAAATAGAGTGGTGGTTATTATTAGCGTTAGGCAGAGCATGCAGTTCTGCAGCCAAACCTGGCCCAAGACTGACAGTCTCGCCCCAGCTGTGTGACCTTAGGTAAGACATCTAACGTTCTGGGCCTTATTTTCTCATCTGTAAAATGAGAACGCTAAGCATGTTGTGGCAGATATTAACTGCTGTTACTGTTGAGTGTGAGTTCTGTGCGCAGGAGCCCTTGAGAGGAGCTGTGCATGATGCTAGTGCTTCAGTCATATACTCTACTCATCTAGGCTGAGTTCCTCCCGGCCAGCTCGGAAGAGCAGCAGAAGCAGAGACCATAGCCGCTGACCCATTAGGAGTGGGCACCCACCATGTGACCAGCACCGGCTGAGAGCTTGACTTACTAACAGCCCTGTGAAGGAGGAGCTTTTATGGTCATTCCCATTTTCCCCCATGAAAAAACTGAAGAAGTTCTCGAGGGTCCCTGCCAGGCTCCCCTTCATACCTGAGGTTTCCACGTGGGGTGTGTCCTGGTCCCCGCCCAGTGCAGGACCCCTCCTGAGCTCGGATGGGGGTGTGTCCGCCCCGCACAGGGAGGGGAGGCCCCGCTACTGCTCCCAAACCCGTCCCTCTTCCGTCCTCTCTCGGGTCCGCACCTACCTCGCGGGGCCCCGGGCTCGGCGCGGCCATGGCCCCCGCAGCAGCTTCCCGGGCTCTGGCCGCATCCCCCCGCCGCCGGGCAGCCCCGCCGCAGGAGCCAGGCCCCGCCCCTGCTCCTGGACCGACCAATAATGCGGTGCCGGTCACGGCTGCACCCAATCCAAGCGGGAGTCACTGGCAGTGGCCTGCGGGTCCCGCCCCCGGAGCTGCAGCATCCTTCGGACCAAGGACCAGGGCGGGGTGGGGGCGTCGCGCGTTGGCTGTGGTCCCTGGGTGGAAAGACCCCCCTTTGTGGAGGACTCCAGTCTCGGGGCTGCTCGGGGAGGTGGGGAGGCTAAATACAGTCCCGCCCACACACTCTGGCGTGAAATTCCCGTCCACCGTGTTTCAGGTGAGGAAACTGAGGTCCAGAGAGAGAAGTGACTACCTCCAGGTCACATAGGAAGTGTGGGGCATGCATTCATTCAACACATGTATTTTAACACATACTGTGAGCCAGGAGCAGTGCTAGGCTCCGGGGATTTAGTGGTGAATGAGAGGGAGGAACACAGCTGCTGGCGAGATCTTTAAAAAGCATAAATTGGATGATGTCACTCTCTTGCTTAAAGCCTTCAGTGTAGGTATTCCCACGGCACTGGAACAAAATCTAACACCGCACCCCTCCCCCCTCCGCCATGGCCCCAGAACCTTCTGCCCACTCTCCGGCCGCATCCCAGACTACTCCCCCTACATCCACTACACAGCCACAGTGGTTCCACGCTAGTCCTTAGCCACCAGAAACTTTCACACCTAGAGGCTGTTGCAAGTGCTGTCCCCTCTCCTTGAAATCCTTTTCCTCTGACTTCCATTTCCTTATTCCTTCTTGTCACCTTTGTTGACTTTAAGTGTTCCTCCTCCTCATTCTTGATCACCTCACCTTGCTTTCTCTTCCTCACACCGAACACTGTTGGAGATTGTCTTGTTCGTTTGTTTATTAAACCTCCTCCTAGGAAGGGGGCACAAAGAGGGCAGAAACCACGCAAGGCTTGCTTCCTGGCTTAGCACCTGGCGCGAACCCATGGTTGATAAGTATATGTGGAAGCAGGGGGCGTAGGATGTGCCAGGGGCCACGGGGAGTCCCAGGAAATGAAAGGCTGGCGTGGCAGTGGGCGGCATGAGTAGGAAGGAGCAAGTGAGCAGCCAAGCATGCAGGTTCTTGTAAGCACCATGGTAGGGAGCGGGGGGAGACTGGGAGCATTATAATTGCATGGGAAAGATGCTCAGATGTTTTTGAAAGGCCACTGGTTGTCATTCAGTCCATTTGGAGGGGACCAGGGTGGGCAGAGGGAGAGCACGAGGAAGACTTTGGTGATTTAGGGCAGAGAATGGTGGCTTTGCATCCAGAATGGCTAGGGGAGGGGAAGGGGTAGAACCAATGGGATTTGGGGTCTTCGGCTCGGGGTAGGGGCAGGAGAGGAAAGTCAAGGTCAGTGACATCTGCTAGGCGCTGCCTGGGGTCAGGGACACAGCATGATGCCAGTCACAAGAGGGAGCAGGGCACGAGGGGAGAGCCCGATTTGAGAGGGAGGGTCCCGAGAACTCAGGGCATGACAGGATGAATTTGAGGTGCCATCGTGACATTTGATGGAGACTTTCGGTGGGTGGCGGGTGCATGTGCAACACATCGGGGCTCAGATCACCAGGCTGGAGACGAGCCTGGGCGCAGACCAGGTCGCTCAGGAAGAGTGAGGTGAGAAACCCTGGGACGGTCCTGAGGAACCCACCCTCTCATGGCAGAGCAGAGGGACATGAGACAGAAAGTGGGAGAATGAGTCATCACAGATACTGAGAACTGAGGGTGCATCCAACCGGGATGTCACAGGCCACACGCAGGAGTGGAGGAAACGCGCTTCGGATTTAAAAACCAGACGGCACCAGTCATCTGAGCGGGCGCAGCCCTCCTGCGGGGACGTAGGGCACAGTGGCAGGCAGCAGGTGCGGAGGACCTCCGGGAAGTCTGGCTAGGACCGGGAGGACAGAGGCCTGGAGGGAATTACTGGCTTGACAAAAGGTCCCTGAGGCGGGAGCCTGGGCCGTTAGGAAACGCTGGGAAAACCTTGTTGAGAGGCAGAGGCTCCTCCCAGGAGAGCGGGATCATCAGGGGCAGGGGGCGCCTGCTGCAGCAGTGGGAAAGGACAGGACCCAGAGCCCAGGGGAGCAGCTGCGCGCAGGGGACTGGCAGAGGGCGGGACAGGTGAGGGCAGGGCGGGTGTGTCTGCGTTGGCCCGTTCTGAGAACACCTCCGCTAACTGGAGGGAGGCGACATCCAAGGCACGATAAGATGCTTCCATTAGGCACTGTGAACAGGACAGCTCGCTGCCCAGAGGGGCTCGCAGGGACAGATGCGGGGCTGGGGCCAGGTCTGTGGCAGATCAGTCAACCTGAACACAGCGACACCAGCCCTCCTCTTGCTCAGTAGTGGCCCCCCATGCTCAGAGCTGCACTAAGGTGGGCTGCTGGGACAACAGGTGGGCAACAGGCTTGGGCTTTCAGGAGACAGGCCTGAGGACCCCCAAAACAGGAGTGCGCGCTGGCTGGGCTGTCACGGGAGGCGTGGTGAAGGTTGCCGTGGGGTCCGGCAGGTTGCCCTGACTCCCCAGCTGTGCGCTGCCCTGGGTCGGAACCACAGCTGTCCCAGTTCCGGTTGTATCTTGTGTCCGGCACAGGGATGACCGGGAGGCACCTGAGGCACTTCGCTGCCCACACCACGGTCTCCTGACCCAAGACCAATGCAGCGACCAGCTGCCGGCCCCTCTCCAGCCCCCAAAGCCCAGCGCCCCTGGTCAGGGATGGCACAGAGACAAACGCACCATCAACGTTTATTGTCCAGCTCTCCCCAGTAGGCCAGCGCTAGGGCCGAGGGGCTGGGCCTCCGTGAGAAGCGGGTCGGGGGGCCCGCTGTGACCGTAGTAATGTGCCCTGGTGCTGGTCCCGAGGCCTGTCAGTCCCACCCCCCTCCCCCGTCCCTGGGCTTTCCAGGTCCAGAAGCCCGGTGGCCACGCCAGACCCGAGAGAGCCATCTTCATGGAGGAAAAGGACATGGGGGGAAGCCGCGTGATGTCTCAGAACCTGCCAATCCCAACATCAGCAAGTGACAGGAGGGAAACTGAGGGAAGAGGGCAGAACCCAGAAGAAAAAGTGATGGGGGGGTCTGAAGGTGAGGTAGCGGGGACCAGCATCTTTCAGACCCTGACCCAGAAGGGGCGAGAGGGAGACTTCCAGGTACCCCCTCCTGGCTCTGGAAGGGGGAGCAGGAGAGGAGTGGGGGCTCTGGTCAGTCAGGAGTGAGTCCTGAAAGGCTGCTCCCCCGGGGGCATCTGCAGGGCAGCGATGCTCGGGGGCTGCAGTGTGCGGACAGGTCCTGAGGGCCCCGCCCTCGGTGTGCCCTGGAGGGGAGGCAGAGAAGGGGTCGGCCGGTGCCTCATTCCCGCGTGGCCCTCACTGAGCCTTCTTGGTCACCTTCTGGTTCTTCAGCATCACGTAGGTGATGAACACTCCTGGAATATGCACACCAAAAAGGCCAGGTCAGATCAGGGCTGGGAGGCCAGAGTAGGGCACAGCATGGCCCAGCAGCCCACACACGTGGCCGAGCACCTCCCCAGCCACCTCCAGGCCACCCGGTCATCTCCCTAGTCATCCACCAAGCCATACACCCACCCACATTCATTCAGCAAACACCACTGAGTGCCGACCACAGGCAATTTGTTGCCCGTAGTGTTTCAGATTCTACAGGATACAAGATCCCCCCAACTATCAAACTCACCAGGAGCGCCCCATCCACCTACCGACCCACCCCCTGCCCACTCAACATCCAGCACCCCCCACTCCACCATCTGATTGTTGGCTAATTCAATCCATTTTATTTATTTATAATCCTCACCTGAGGATATATTTTTCATTGCTTTTAGAGAGAGACGGAGAGAGCAAAGGGGAGAAACACCGATGCCGGAGAACAGCACTGATTGCTTGCCTCCCATACACCCAGAAGGCAGACCAAACCCACAACCTAGGTATGTGCCTTGACCGGGAATCGAGCCCACAACCCTTCGGTTATGGGACGATGCTCCAACCAACTGAGCCCCACTAGCCAGGGCCCAAACCACTTTCTTGAGCACCAACTTAGTGCCACAGCCTGTGTAGGAGCTGAGAACACAATAATGATAGAGACACAGTCCTAGGACGCTCACACACTAAACCATGGGAGACAAGAGAGGTACAGGAATCCTGAGCCAGAGTGACAAGGGGGTGAGAGGTGACTGAGGTATGAGCGGAGCAATGACGGTGGTCGGGGAGGGCGCAGGACAAAGGGAGACACCCCATGACAGCCCAGTGAGCCCCAGGCCTCCGGAAGACTGACTGTAGCCCCCTGAAGGATCAACAGGAAAACCCCTAGGGTGCATTGAGGGCAAGGAGCCTCAGACAAAGTCCAGCAAGTGCCAAAACCCAGCCACATGTTCAGGGGTGGGAGAAGGTCATGGGGCCCATCCAGGCACCCTGCCCAGGGGCATGGTGACTTACCCACAAACAGGAGCAGCAGGAGGCCAGCAACTAGTGGGATGGCAACGGCATAAGCTCGGGGCAGGAAGTACTTGTGGATGACATGCTGGCTGTCGATGAATGGCTGGCATCGAGGGCAGAGTTCTGGTGAGCACTCCTGGCCTGGCTCAGCGCCCCCAAACCCTACCTTCCACCTCCTCCATCTCAGGGGCTGACCCCACTCAAACCACTGGGACAGTATTTGCTTTTCTTTAAGATGATGGCATTTTGTGTGCCTTGGTTCGTTTCCTTCCTTCACTTAGTTATTCACAGGGCGCTCGCCCTAAGTCGGTGGCGCTGGGGGCCTGGCAGCGTACAGAAGATAAAGAACCTGCCGTAAGGCGCTCACAGCCGAACGGGGCAAGAGGGTACATGAGGAAGCCTGGAGTGATCCCCAAGCTGGGCTCCAGTCTCTTCTTTACTAACATTTTTCTCCAAAGGCTACCAGGTTCTGCAGGACTTTGCCTTCTAAACACGCTGCACTTCTTCAGCAGGAACCAACAACCACCCCCACTCCAAATCCCAAAGGCCCTCACCAAATCCTCTGGCCCCTGTCCTGGCCAAGCCCGCAGAATAACCAGGACTAGGACTCCCATCAGAGGCAGGGCAAATCAGGAAGCGGGCTCTACAGTGTAGCAGTTAAGGATATGACTTGGGCCCAACCTTCCTCCCTGAGCCTCAGCTTCCTCAGCTATAAAATGGGGGCAGTACTAGCATCTTCCCCATAGTGCTGTTCTGGAGACTTCATGAGATATTGTGGTAAAGCACCTAGCACAGCTCCTGTCATACAGGAACTGCTTAAATAACGTTAGGGGTCGGTTGCTAGATCTAAGAATGGAGATGAGAGAGGGCGAGATAAGAGCACATACCAAGAGAATCACCCAGGTGGTGTAGTAGGTGAAGATGATCAGGCTAATGGCGACGAGGCCGAGTCCCACCACCTGGTCTGTCCCCGTGGCCTGGAGAAAAGGGAGGACTCAATGGACCAAGTGATTCTCCGTTTAGGTGTACCAATGGGGGCGGGGGGGAGCGGCGCATAGCAGCCTGATTAGCTGGCAGAGTGCCAGGTCTCGGCGTGTTCATCCCTACAATGGGCTGGCAGGAGACCAATCCCCGGTCCGAGCGCCCAAACCTCGGATCCTAAACAGACCCGGGACCCCAACCCCAGCATTCCTCCCTACGCTCACCATTTCCCCGCGCTCCGCCGCGGAGCACCAAGCTACATCCGGTTCCGGATCCGGGCTCCTCTGGCTTTCGTCGGCGTGGCACGCCGGGAGTCGTAGTTCTTATGCGGGCTCGGGCCTCGGTGTCCGAGACAGGCACCGCCTCCCCCCCTTTTGCGTGTCGGGAAATGTAGTTTCTAAAGAGCATTGTGGGAGAAGTTGTTCCCGAATCTTCTTAGGTAATGGGACAGAGTTGAGAATCCAGACTGGCTGGTACTCGTGGACTTAGTCGATATCGCCCCAGAAGAAAAGCCTATTTCTAAATATTCCCAAGTCCCAAGGCCAGAGCGGAGTGGGGCGGGGGCCCAGAAGTCTCATTTGTCAGATGGGGAAAATGAGGCGCAGAGAAGGGCGATGACTTGCGGGAGATCGCGATTCGAGTCTTTGGTGAAGCCAACACCAGCACCTAGGACCCTACGTCCTGGTTCCGAGGCCCTAACTTGTCTATTGAGCGGAGGATGCAGAGAAAGTTCACCACTGGGTTCAGAGTGGGAGGAGGGCCTGGTCCGAGTCCGCAGGGATGGGAAGGGTCTCAATGGGCTGTCGGGGTGGGGGGTCGCCCCCTTACCATCAACTCTACTCTCTACACTGTAGTGATGAGGCCAGGGTGACCCCCCACCCCCTCACCGTCTGCCTCTGAGGTCTTGTGTGTCGCGGTAGCTCAGTTAGCAACCCACGCGGGTCTCTGGACTGGCCACGTCTGCAGGCCCCTCCCCCGGCTTGGAGGCGCTTTCCTCTGAGAGCAAGGGGAGGCTGGGCCTCAGTCCTGCAGTTTGGAGCCCGGTCTTCCCACAGCTCGGGGGCTGGCTGCGCCTCACTCGTCGGGGTTCCCTGGAATGCGGCACATCCCGGCGAAGTCAACTTCACAGGACAGCAGTGCGTTCCCTCCTCTGTGCTCCACAGGCCCAAAAGTCCCCATGATGACGCTTGTCATCGCATTTTAATGAGCTGATTGACTTGATTTGGCCCACGTGACTGTGAGCTCCCTGAGGATAGGGTCAGTGGTCACTGCTGTGTATCCCCAGTGCCGAGAATGGAGCCTTGCACGAAGAAGGAGCTGTGAATCAACCAACCGGCTTTAAGATTCGGTGGCTTTTTGGATCTTGGAATGATAGAATGTACAGCACTGGGGTGGCGGTGGAGGGGCAGGTGATCAGGTCTGAACATGGACACTCTTTCTGGCAGCATGTCACCTTGGGTTGTCTGAGCCCATCTCCAACAACGGAGATTGCCCTCCCAGAGCTCATAGGAGCAATCCTTTTTCTTTCCTACCATTGTACTCTGATTTTTCCCTTAGCATTACTGTGTTCCAAAGAAGCAACCCATTTTGCTCTGTAGCCCAATTCACTCCCTGTCTCAGGACAGACTTTGGGCTCAGCTGAGAACCCACTTTCCCTTCTCCAGAAGTGCGCTGAAAAAAGGGGACTGAGAATCAGCTCCCACGGTTTACAGGGGCGATGTCTGAGCCCTGAAAAGGGTGGGGATAAGGTGGCACTGTGGCAGGGACGAGGCCTGGTAGTCTGCTCCCTTCTGGCCTGTCCAAAGCCACTGAGGTTTCCTGCCACTTCTGCACTCATAAAAGGTCCAGGGTGACTGGCGTTTCTCAGACCTGGGTGCAGACTCCTTTGTAACTTTAGACAGGGGCAGGCAGCAAGAGGCCCAGGCCTGGAGATTTAGAGATTAGGAACATGCTCAGCACCTCCCTAGGTCAAGCTGTATACCCACTTTCTCATTTGATCTACAACCTCATTTGCTGCTGAGAAAACTGAGGTATAGGTAGCCTTCTGTCTTCAGCCGTATCGGTTAGGGACCACCTGACTGCTGGGGAGGTCTGTAGAGCAGCTAGAACTTGGCCTCTGAGGTCAGAGTGGCTGCTTACTAGGTCTGAGACTGGCAAGAAAGCACACTCCCAGGCCCGTTTCCTCCCCAAGACTCTGGTGTAATCTGGTGTAAGGGTCATAATCATTGTGACTTCAGCCAGCGCTTGGAGAACCACATCTTGCCCACCCCCAGGGTATCACCTTACACATTTGGCTTCCATCCTGATGTTGTCTCTGACCCTGAAGTCCAGTCAGTAAAACAAACAAGCACCAACATGCCATTAACAAACAAAAACAGCAACATTTAATTTTTCCCCCAAATCAAGACACTGACACTAGGCTGATTTCCCTTTACAATGTTATGTTCTACAGTAGAAGCTGGGACAGAGATACAAACACAGCCCACTGAATCAGGGTGTGGTGGTGGCAGCATTCTGTTAGAAAAGGGGGAATTAAAAAAAATAAAAAAGGCCTCCCCTCCCCGCTTTTCCCTGTTCACCTCCCTAGAGAGGAGAACGTGGACATTCTCCATCCTGGCAGATCATGCCATGTGGTCAGCGTGTGGGGTGACCAGAAAAAAAAATAACCTAAAAATATTGTAGACCTTTATTTATTTTCTTTAAATCTCCTAGTAAAAACGTTAAACTGTCTTCCGAAATTCCAAACTGGCATTGCATAGACCAATTCCTTTCCAAAAATATCTCTAATATAGTCCTCTCTATCTCTCTCTATATATAGAATTTTTAAGTCCAGGAGCTGTGGGCGCCTAGTGGGAATTCACTGAGCTTGAGTGGACCGGAGGCTCCCACGTGGGGCCGCGGCCAGGGCTCCGGGCCTCCAGCTCCAGCCAGCATTAATTTGGTTATGGCCAAATTCTCAGTTAGTCCAATGACCCTGGCCCAGGGTCTGGCATGGGAGGATGTGGCAGGCTGTCCCCTGGGGTGACTGTCAAGTTCAGACCTCATCTAAAGTGGGGCTAAGGTTCCTAGTTTTGGGGAGTCTCCCCAACAGCACCAAAGCCAGCTGTTTCATGTGTAATGCCCCAGAATTTTGAACCAGACACCAAATACACCTTGAACTCACCTTCACCTTCCCACTGGGCTGAGGTTGTGCAGCCACAGGAGGGAAGTGTGCTACCCGCCCCCCCCCCCCCAATTCTGGGAGTCACTTCATCTAGAGACAGTGTAGCCAGTCCCCTTTTAAAGTGCCAGGTGTCTACAGAACAGGAAGGGACCCACAGAGCTGACCAGAGCCTTCTCCAGCCAGAGCAAATGCTCCACGCTGCCTCGGCAGGCACCTTCTAACATTCTTTCTCTAAAAAGAGTTAGGTGATTAAAAATGACGACGAAATCCTAGAAATGCTCTGGTCCCAATGCTGGGAGGTTCTGAGACCAAGACTCCAACTCCTGCCAGCTGGGGCAGAAGGGCCAGGAGCCCTCCCAGCCTGGGGAGGGCGCCCTCACCGCCAGCCCTGCCAGAGAGAACCAGTATCCTGGCCCCCCATCCAGACCCCCAGCCCTGCTGGGGACCCAGTCAGCGGGTAGGGCAGAGAACAAAACCACCTCCCCTCACCTGGGGGAGGAAAAACTGTCAAACTGTGAACCCTATAAAAAAGAAAAAAAATGAAGAAAAAAAAAGGGGGAGAAAACAAAGAAAAAAAGAAAAATGTATAGGGTTAAACAAACACCAGCCTGCTGGGTTTATACAAAAACGAGTGACATTAAGAGCGGCAGGGGGGACTGTCCAGAGACTGGCTGGCAGCCAGCACCTACCTTCAAGCAAGTAATGAGGATGGGGGTGGGGGGAAGGGCTCAGAGCAGAGGCTTCGGTGAGCGGCAGGGGGCAGGGCCAGACTGCTCCCTGCTGGAACCCCCCCTTAAAGGACCCTGCCCAGCCTTTGCCTGGAGAGGGGGGCGCTTTCAGAGGAGGGCTGAGGCTTTTCTGGCCAGGAAGCCAGCTCCGGCTGGTCCAGTCACAGCCCACCCGCCCCTCCAGCAGTGGCCCCAGCCTGGGCCAGCTGACCCTGAGGGGAGAGAAAGGGGGTGGCGCTTGCCCAGCCCAGCCAGGCCCCTGACCTCCACGGGCTTGGGAGGCATCTTTCGGGCTTCCTACAGGAAACCAGCTGCTCAGGTCCCAGCCCTGGGCAGAGGGGAACCACCACCGAAGCTCACACCTGTCTCGGCGTGGGTCCTGGGCCTGAGCTGCAGCTAACTGCAGGGAGAGGCGGTGCCCCGTACCAGCCGGGCTGCTCGAGCTGGGCCGCGGACTGCACAGCAGGCAGCGCCCAGGAATCCTGGGGAAGGGATCAGGGGGAGGGTGGGCGAGGGCCAGTGGGGCTGTGCTGGACACAAGCGTGTGCAAAGTGCAGGCTGCCGGGGCAGCAGGCGAACATTCTTTGGGGGAGGGAAGTCTCAATCTGGAGTGTGGGTGGGGTCTGAGGTCTTGGCTCCCAGGAGGAGGCCGCCAGCAGGTCCCCCAGGGCATAGGGAAGGGAGCGCTGAAGCACTAAGCGGTCAGAGGGCCACGGTGGCAGGATCCTGGGGGTGAACTGGCCCCAAGGGAAAGGGGGCAATGGACCAGAGCCCTGCCAGGGCACGGTTTGAGCTGGCGCTCCTAGAGCGAGAGGGGGACAGGGCGTGAGGCCGCTTGGCCATGAGCATCTCCACGCGCACGTGTAGGATCCGCTGCACGTCCTCATCGCGGAGCCAGGTCAGTCACCAGGCAGGGCGTTCTGGCCATCTTTGTCTCGCCCACCTACTTTGTGGGCCCATGTCCTGCCCTCTAGTGGTTCAGAGGAGAATATTCACAGTGGCGCCCAGGCCCAGCAGGCCAGGAGGGCCCCCGCGTGGATGGGAGGACAGTGGAATGATGCTTTGGGGCAGGATGTGGCTGGAGTGCACGGAGGAGGCACAGACAAGATGCAGCGTGAATGGTGATCCGAAGGGGAAGGTCCCTCGTGGAATGACACGGGTCAGGACACCCGCAAAGGCAGGGGTCCTTCTCCAGCCTGGACACCTGCTCCTCAATGGCTTTCAATGACGACTGGCTCATAGACCCCAGAGGAGACCCTGTGGGGAGAGACAGGTCAGCTCGTTCTTCTTGGCGCTCCTCTGGGCCAGGCCCTGGGAAGTACTTCACAAGCAGGCACCGTTAATTGGCCCCATTTTGCAAAGGGGGCTCAGAGAGGTTGTGTCACTTGCCCAGAGTGACACAGATAATAAGAGTCAGAGTCTATGGGATCACAGAGCTGGCACACACAGGCTGTGCCCGAGCCCTTCCTGGGTAGCGAGCCCTTACGCACTGGGGTGTGCTGAGCCCATGCTGACAGCAGCCCTGGCAGGGAGGGGCTGCACCCAATCCCACCTGACGGGAAGAAAGCGACGCTTGGAGGGATTCGAGGCTTGCCAAGAGGGCATTGAAGGTCGGGAGCTCCTCCCATGGAGGCCAGGCCCACCTGTGAGGTCACAGGCATTCTGGGCTCTGCAAGCTGCTCTCTTATGACCTTGCTGCCAGGTTGGTTCTTCCCTCCCTGAATCCCAGTTTCAAAGGGAGGCATATTCATGAACCCTCAGAGAGGTCCCTGTTTTCTGTCTACCTCACTGGGGCAGCCCAGGAGGCCATGGGGAGATGGCGGATGCAATTCCGTGCCTTGCCAGCAGGGGTCAGCAGAGCAGCGCCAGAGGCCAGGCCTGTGGCCCCTGGGCAGCCACTGAGTCTCCTCCATCTCTGGCCCTCGATGATAAATGGGCACTTCCCCGCCCTTCCCACAGGCACGTGGGGAAAAGCCTTCAGCACAACCCTGCCTATGGGAAGCTCCTCCACTTATTCATTCACTCAGTGAGCCACATGGTGAGGCACACGGTGAAACACTAAGCAAATGACCGAGAGGGCACTGGCGTTCTATAAACCCGAGCTCAAGTCCCAGTGTGATCCTACCACCCCCTTGTCTGTGAAAGTCACATCACAAGGGCAGGAAACTCTGTTGCTTACTGTTGTGTACCTGGCACCTCAGTCAGTGCCTGGTGTGTAACCAGTGCTCAATAAACGGGTGATCATTATCATTTTTAAGGGGTTCCCAGATCCAGGAGGAAGGGAAGGGAGGGTCCAAAATGAAATCAGTAAGCCCCTGTTCTGTGCCAAGCCTTGTGCTAGGCCCTTTCCAAGATTACAGCTGGAACCCTCAAAACCAACCCGGGAGCAGTCCCAGGTTTCTAGGGAAACTGAGGCTCAGAGAGCAATGACTGGCCCCAGGCCACCCTGCGGTGACAAGAGCTGGCATTCCAAGGCAGGTCATTAGGCTTCCGAGACCTTGCTCTCAGCACCATGCCTCCCATGGCCACCCTAAACACCCACCCCTGACCCTTCACCCCTACCTGTTAGCCAGCTGGATGCCACTCAGTGTGGTGGAGCCATCGCGGCTCACGAACAGCCGGAGGTTGCTGTCTGTGGGGACACAAAGGGAGGACAGAGGCTGAGCAGGGTGGGAGTCCCTGGGGCCAGCGGCACTGTCCCCACCGGCTGCCTGCCCAGCATGGGCAGCTCACCCTCAGTGTTGCTGCCATCTGTGAAGTCCTGGCTCTGCATGATCTTCTCCACGATGTCATCTGCATCGATCCGCGTGTCATCCACCCAGGTCGGGTGGCTCTCCACCGAGTCCTTCTTCCTCCTGGAGCAGAGCAGGCAGAGTCACAAGTCAGGGTAGTGACGGGCACAATGACGACCACAGCGAGCACCTACTCGCTCAGGACACTCCAGGTGCAGGGAGAGCTTGTTCAGGTTGTCCTCACTTAACCCCCACGCAGCCCTGCTCTCCAGGTGCCGTTATTACCTGCTCTCAAAGGTGAGGCTCTGAAAGGCCACACGATACTAGGCAGGGGACCCAAGGTTCCCTACATCATACACAGCAACTGCTAACTGAGCATGTGCCTGCCAGTTAGGTCAGGGCTATGCCCCTCATGGACCCCAACGGTTGAATCATCACCATCCAACCCCAAGGCAGGGACCCTACCATCTCATGTTACAGGTAAAGCAGCAAAGGTTTAAGAAGCCAACGGGAGGGGTCTGCCCTCTAAAGTGCTGAGCAGTGACTCACCGAAACGAGCGGTCAGACAGAAGCGGGGGCCGGGGCGGCCGGGGGGGCTTCTCGGGAGGCCGGTGCTCACGCTCGCCAGACTCGGGGCCCTCCACGGTCATGCTGAGGCCACCAGACGCACTGCTGCTGGTGGATGTGTTGCGACGGTGCGTCAAGTCTGAGAGGCTGGAGGAGCGTGAGTGCTCCGTGCTGTAGCCTGGTGGGCGGACGGGGCGCTTCAGTAGGGGGCAGTCGGGCAATGCGGGAGGCCAAGGGCATGGGGCCAAGCGGGCACTCACCGGAGATCTTGGACTGCTGGCTGGCGTAGCTGGAGTTGCGGGAGTGGCCCGAGTGGAACACCTCCTCGGGGCTGGACAGGTTCTGGTCTGTCTCCTCCGGCACCCCTGGAAGGCGGGGAGAGGGCATGGTTGCCAGGGGTGCCCGTGCTCTCACTGAGTCGGGCGGCAGGGGGGAGGGGACGACACTAGGGACACTATGTATTTCCATTCAACCGACTGAAAAACTGAGGTTCACAGGAGCAGCAGTCTAAGCCAGTTTACCATCTGAACCCAGGTTCATTCATTCTACAAATGTCTGCCAGGGACCTCCTCCTTGCAGGGTGCTCTGCTGCGTGCTGTGAACAGGAGACAGGTGTCACAGACCACCGGGGAGGGTGAATGTTGAACAAAACATGACCCGCAATGAACTGTAACTGCAGTGAGTGGTGCAGAGCGGGGAGCAGTGACGTAGGGTCCGACCCAGCCTGAGAGCAGGGAAGGCTTCTCTGAGGCAGTGGCCTTGAGGCAGTGGCCTTAACGCGAGACCATCAGGAGGCGTGGGAGGGAGCGAGCCAGATAGGGCGTCAGAGAAAGGACCTTCGGAGGGCACCATGTAAGGCCAAGGCCCTGAGGCTTGAATGGGCTGGAGTGGATGCAGCTGGAATAAAGCAAATTAAGGGGGAGGGGACTGGCTGACAGCCCTGCCCCTGGTGACCCATAGGCTCAGCGTCTATGCTAACACCCCAGCAACTCCCCAACGGGAGGGGCAGGGCAGCCAGGCGGATCCGCCCCAGGCTCTGCAGTACCACAGGAAGCAAGGGCTCGCCCATCCCCTTTTCAGAGATGAGCACAGCCAGGCCACCAGCTGGACCCCAGGCCTGTGTCCCCACCCAAAGTCAGGTGGCTTTTTGAGGGCCCAACAGGTTCTCGGCAGAGGCGGGCAGCAGGTGCAGAAAACCAGCTGCAGAGGCACTTGGGGCTCACCCCCTGCGCTGCCTGGGAGAGGCTCCTCTGCTACTTTGCACAAAGGCATTGTCTGAAAAAAATCTTTAAAAAAACATGAAAGGCCCTGGCTGGTGTGGCTCAGCGGATTGAGCGCCAGCCTGCAAACCAAAGGGTCGCAGATTTCATTCCCAGTCAGAGCACACGCCTGGGTTTCAGGCCAGGTCCCAAGTGGGGGACGTGGGAGAGGCAACCACATGTTGATGTTTCTCTCCCTCCCTTCCCCTCTCTCTAAAAATAAACAAAATCTTTAAAAAAAAAGAAAAGAAAAAAGGGCTTCGTCTGTGCTGGAGTGGCCTGGTCCCCAGCTCTCTCTTCTGGAGACCACCGCCCTGAGGCTGCAGAAAGCTGTGGCACTGCGAGGCCCATGCCCAAGTGCAGCCCCAGGCCGAGGCAGGCGGGAGCCCCAGCTCCCTGCTCTGCGCCTGGCCAGGCTGGGCCTCCAGGAAAACAGCGGTGGAGCGAAGCTCCCAGCCCTTGGGGGCGGAATCACACAGCAAACATCTGCTGAGCCACCAGCACTGTGCCTTAATTGCTCTTGTGACACAAATTAGGGCCACCACGTGCCACCTTGCTCACTGATCAGCTGGGGGGCAGGGCCTGAGGCCCTCCTTCCCCCTGCACAGCACCGGATATGGGGCTGGGGGGCGGCACCCCCGCCCTCCTAACTGCCATGCCACCTCCTCTGGGGATGCAGGCTAGTCTGAATTTTTTAAAAAGATTTTATTTATTTTTAGAGAGAGGGGAAGGGAGGGCCAGAGAGGGAGAGAAACATCAATGTGTGGTTGCCTCTTGTGCGCCCCCCAACTGGGGACCTGGCCTGCAACCCAGGCCTGTGCCCTGACTGGGAACCGAACTGGCGACCTTTTGCTTTGTGGGACAACGCCCAACCCACTGAGCCACACCAGTCAGCGCTTGCCTGAATTTTTAATAACATTTGTAATAATGATAACTTAATAGAAATACACACAGGGTGCATACACTGCGCAGGCAAGGCCCACACGCTTGCCCAGTTTCTCCCCAAAGCAACCCAGGGCGTCGTTACTGCTGCTGATCCCATCTGACAGGACACTGAGGCCCAAAAAAGTGAAATGGCCAGTCAAGGTCACGTTGCAAATGGGAGAGCAGGAGCACACAGCACGCATCCCTTGGCCAGGAACGTTGTGCCCCGCACCCCAGGTTCAACTCAGATGCCACCACCTCAGGAAGATTTCCTTGGCCCCGACAGACACCGCTGTCTCTCTCACAGCTCTTGTCACTGCAGGTGGACATGCATTTGACTTGTTTACTGTCTCACTGACACCTGCCTCTCTCCTGCTAGATAGGGATGGCCGTGAGGTCAGGGACACCACGTGGGTCTCAGTCCAGGGCACTGCACAGCGCCCGGCACTCGAGAGGGGCTTGGATAGTGTCTGCCTCATGGAAGCACAGACAGTGCGAGCAGCTCCCCACCACCTCTCTCTTCTCAGCAAGCGTCTCCCCTAGGACTCCGAGGAGGTAAAAAGGGCAGGGCAGGCAGGGGGAACCTGTACCTGAGCCGAGAATGGTGGGCCGGGCCTTGGGGGGACGCGACCCCGTCAGGGAGTTGGTGCTGCTGCTGCCACTGCTGCTGGTCCCGCCGCCCTTACAGGTCAGCTGCAGGGAGGAGTCCTGGCCCGGGATGGAGATGGACTTCGCAGTGGACGGCGGCCTTGGGAGGACAGAGGGGCGTGACCGTGGTACCCCAGCCCTGGGGTCAGCTGAAAACAAAGGCGCTCCCACCCCTCCAACAGCCTGCGCCCACACTCACGTCTTGAAGCAGGGGTCTCCCGAGAGCAGGAACATCCCGATGGTGACCTGTGGGACAAGGCGAAGTCAGCCACACCACGTCCACTCCGCCCAGGCGCCCGGCCTCCCGCGGCCTCCCGTGGCCTCCCGCGGCCTCCGTGCTCGGGCCTCAGACAGGGCTCGGAGTCTGATCCCTCTGTGCCCTGCTGGCCCTGGAGAAGCCGCCACACCTCGCTGAGCCCTAGCTTCCTCATGCCGGCAGGACAGACCCTGACACTGCCTCTCGGGACAGTGGAGAGGGTGCAGGGAGATGAGGCTTCACTTGGCTTGGCACCTGGCTCTGTGCGATTGAGCAGTGAAAACGAGCTATTGCTGTTTTAAAACTATAGCAAGATTGTGAGCCCTTGCGGGGAGGGGGGGGCCGCCCAGTCACTGTCTGTCGGCAAGGCCAGGGCTCCGAGTGGGTGTGGGGCCTTCAGCTCCACAAGGCAGAGGGAAGGGGGCTAGAGGGGCCCGCCTGGTGAGGAGGGCGTTGCCGAGCCAAACGCTGCGGGGGGGGGGGAGGGGCGGGGAGCGCTCCCAGAGTCCAATGCAGAGGGCGGGGGCTTAGTGAAAGTTTCTTGAATCAAGTAAAGCAAAAACCCATTAGAAACTTAACAATTTAACATCCACTTGGGCAAAGATTTTGGCAATGGCCCAAACAAGGCAATGTTTGGGTCCCCAAATCTGGGATGAGGTGGAACGACGGGGAAAGTGAGGTGCTCAGATCCCCGCCACCACCAACAAAAAGGAGGCCCCAGCTCTGAGGAGGGCTGAGGCTTTTTTTATGGGTTATTTTTGTTGGCCACGAGAGCAGCCTGCAAAAGGGGTGATGGGACCCAGACTCAGAGGGAGGGACTACCCAAGACCCTGTAGACAAGATGGGGCCTTGAAGCTGAGGCCACCTGCCCCTCAGGTGCCCTTGATCTGGCCTGAGGAGTCTGGGGCCACGGGGGCAAGGCTGAAGGGTCCCAGCTCCCACCACAATCAGCCTACACCTTTTCAGGTGCCTCGGATTCCCTCTGCACAGGGTCTGGGAGACCCCAGAGCCTCTGCCCACTACCCCCGGCCCGGCTCTGCCCCAACACAACAGGCTCCCACTGGGTCAGTTGGTAGAGGTGTCGTTAGGACAAGACCGTGTTCTCAGCCAAGTGGAAGGGGGTGGAGACAAGGAAGAGAGCTACACAGGTAGCAGATGCCCAGATATCTCTGTCCCAAGAGGCCAAGGAGGCAGCTGCCTGGGGGAGAAGGAGCCGCCCCAGACACCGGAAATGTGGCTGGGCCCCTGGAGCAGCCGCCCTCGGTCTGCCCAGGTGGAGGGCGGCGGCAGGTCCTCCTGGTCACCTTCACCGGAACCTCAGGCTGCCTGGGTCACGTGGGGCAACAGTGAGGATCTGGACTGCAGTCTCTGCCGTGGCCCCGGGCCCTAGAGCTAACCTCTGTGCCTCAGCTCCCTCCCGTGCAAAACCGGGACTAGTAACAGACACCACACCCCACGGGGCTGCTGGCAGGCATCACAAGACGAGGTGGTGGTGCTGGGCGATGCTGACCTCCCCAGCCCTTCAAGAGGCTGCTGGGGTCCAACCCTGATTATGGGTGGGGAAACTGAGGCCAGAGGCAGAGCCAGGCCTTTGATGGTGGTTCCCCGACCCAGGGCCTACATCCTCCCAGTATCCCTCACTGCCTGTCCAGGGAAAAAAACCTGTCTTTTTAACAACCCTGCAGGCACTCTGAGGAGGAGCAGGCTCGGCCTGCCCCGTGGTGGGATGGAGCAGAAGAGGCAGCAGGGCCTGTACCTTGAGGATGGAGTTGTCCTGGCGGGTGTTCTTCGTGTCATAGCCCTCCAGCAGGCAGCAGCGCACGGTGGAGCCCGAGCCCGCAAACTCAGCCAGGTTCAAGTCGGCAAAGCCCAGCTGGGAGGGAGAGAGGAGACTGTGGGAGGCTGCAGGGAGTGTGGGGGCAGTGCTGGCAGCTCAAGAGTTAACCTGGCGGAGGGGGAGGGGCAGGCAAAGCCCCTGGGCCACACGACAGCCCAGACAGCCTCTTGCATAACCGGCACCCAAGGACAGAGGCCCAGGCTGGTGGCTTGGGTTGGAGGCTCCAATGTGGCAGAGCCAGGAGCTCACATCCCTGAGCCGCACAAAGCGCCCTTTGTATTGTGTCCCAGAGTGCACCGGGGCAGTGCCTGAGATGAAAGGACATTGTTGTCTGTGACACAGACATATTGTTCCCTGGGAAACAAGGCTGTGCTGTGGGAGCCGCCAGGACAGCGGGCAGGGGGGAGGAAAAGCCCGTGGGAACTTGGTGTTGGGATGGGTGAGTGGGGTGCACAGGAACCCCTCGTGGAGGCTGGAGTGAGGGGCTGTTGGGCATTCGGTGGAGACGCTCCTCAAATACAGAGAGAGGAGGGATGGGGAAGGAAGTGCAGGAAGTGGGAGAACAGGGCCTACGAGCTAAGGAGGCATCTGAGATGGAAGCTAATTGCTGCGGACTCGGAGAGACAACAGAGGCTCAGGTGAGGGGGTGCTGGGTGACAACCAGAGCAAGCAGGGACGTTTGTTGAGCACCTGCTAGGTGCCGGTCTCTACTGGACACCCTGGGGCATGGATGCCAGAATCGGGGATTCAGGTTCTGGTCCCAGCCCTGCCATCAACTCAGTGACCCCTGTTTTATAGACAAAGACACTAAGGTTCAGAGAGAGGAAGTAACATGCGCGGGGTCCCAGATGGCCAAACTAGCAGAACCAGGCCTGACACTAGGCCTGGTCAGCGTCAAGTGTTGCCGCCTCTTTGGGCCTGTTTCTTCCTTTGTGTCAGCGCTGCTGGGCCAGTGTGGACGTCCAACTGGAGAATGGAAGGCGGGCCTGGCAGGTCTGACGCGTGCCAGGTGCACAACAAACACCTGCGGGAGGCCGGACGGAGGGAGGACACTCCAGCTGTTTGCTGGTAGTTTCTTTCCTAGCTGGCCAGCTGTCCTCACCCACGTGAATCAATGGGAAGGGAAATTTCCATTCTGATGGCACCCCCCACAGGCCGGTTTTGGCCACCCTGCCCTCTGCTCCGGGGGAGGGACAGGAGCGACCAGCCAGGGCAGAGCGTGCAGCCCAGAACACTGGGTTTCCTGAGCTCTGGTCGGTGGGAAGGGGCACGCCCTGCATGCATGCCCGCCCTGCACGCACGGTGAGGTAAGGTGAGGCATTTCCCCTCCAAACTGACTAAGCCCTGCCTCCCCACCCCCCGCTGCTGCACCACCTTCCCGGGGGAGGCCCCACTGGGTGTGTTGCGAGTCTGCGCAGAGGAAGAGGTTTAAGGGCAGAGCAGGCTTATTCAAAGCCAGAGGTAACCCGTCTTCCCTGACTCTTCCCAGTGGAAAAGGTTTTCAGGTGGAGAGCTGAACTGTCTGTGGGTGCAGGGAGACCCTGGCAACAACACAGACGTGCATCAGCAGGGACTGGCTGAGTCACCCGTCCCCCTGACACACAATGGGACACTGCCGCTGTTAAAGCAAAAGGACATTTGTGATGACAGGAAAACGTGCCCGTGACACACTGGCGAGTAAAGCGCCAGGCTGCTTTTGTGCATTTCAAGATCACACTGTCTGCCATGGGCACGAGGACCCATATAAAGCGCTCACTTTCCATGTCTCTAAACCATGTGCAAACACTTTATTCACTGCTCTGCGTGTATGATATGTTTTATAATATTTTTTCTTAAAAGGTCTGGAAAGATCCTGACGAATCGCAAGGCTGGGGTTTGGGGAGGAGGCCCAGGGAGGAAGGGGGCGGAAGCTGACCTCTCCTCTCTATGCTGTACCATTCGTGACACACAAACACATGCTGTCTTATGTGAAGTGCAAAGACGATCAACAAAGATCTTCCCCCGAAAATAATATAATTCCTGGAGGGTCGAGTGTCTCCTGTGTGGGGCAGAGAGGGGGCTGGAGGTTCTGGGAGCTTCTCTCCTGCCTGCCCCGTTCCGCCCCAGCCCATCCCACCACGTCTTCACGCAGTTCCACTCACCTTGGAATAAGTCTTCCCACCTTTCAGCTCCTGCACAGGGAGACAGACACAGGCAGCAGGGTGACAAGGGAATCCAAGGGACCTTATATGTCTCCCTAATCCCCAGCCGCACTCCCCCCAACTCAGTGTGACTGCCAGGGGAAGAGGACAAGAAGAGGGGCAGAGCGACTCACCCCATTTTCCCTGAGGGGGACAAGCCCGGGGAAGGGCCGAAAGCCGCCAGGCCGGAGCAGAGCCCCCCGCGCCCCCCAGCCTTGGCCCAGCCTCACCTTGCGAACTGACACCCGGAAGACGCAGGGGTCCAGCAGGCCGGTAGCCGGGTTGGCGCTCATCTTACACACAAAGGCGAACCGTTTCCGCCACCGCACACAGTTCTCCTGAACCTCCTCCCTGCAGGCCAGACGGGACAGGTGAGCACAGGCGTGCGGGTCCGTGCCAAGAGCACCGACAAGGGACAGGGCTCAGCCCAAAGGAGGCAATGGTGGGGTGGGGGGTGGTGCGGGGAGGAAGGGGAGCCTCACTTTTCACTTTGTATCACAAAATGACTGTACCGTCAGAACAAGAATGTGCTTGTGTAAGTGTTATAAAAACAAAAATACATAATAAAAAGTGAAAAAACACTAGGCAGGTGAGGTCAGGCTGGGGCCGGCCACCCCCAGCCTTTGCTCCCAGCGCTGTCTTCCTCACCCGCCCCGTTCTGTGGCCTTGGGTGGCTCCTTCTGCAGCCATTGCCCCCGCCCCCCGCCCCCGGCCCCGGCCAGGTAACCGCTAAACGCGGCGCTTCCCGGGGGCCTGGCCCCACTCAGAGCCCCCCTGGGGCCTGCTCCGAGTGCCAGCATCCCGTTGTCACGCCAGCCCTTCCAGTGGGACAGTCGCTACCATTAATCCAATCCCACATCGAAAGAAACCAAACTGAGGGGCTAAGCCCCTGGCCACCAATGGCAGAGCAGACCGGAGTCTTGAACCCAAGCAGCCGGCTTCAGGGGCCTCACTGCTCCAGGGCTGAGACACTACTCAAGGCCCTCAGCTGTCCTGGCACGAACGGGGGCGGGGGCTGCCCTTCCAGCCCAGCTCGGAGTTCCTCCTGAGCCTAGGGAGCAAGGCCAGCACCCCCTAAGAGGAAAGCACTTTTGTGCCCTGGGAGTGAGTGGGAGTTGGTGGGAGCAGCTCATCTGAGCCTCTCCCAGCTGCTGCGGGGGCCCTGACAGGAGCTGGGGCTGGCAGTGGCACGTGTCAAGAGATGAGCTCTGCGCCCCTGTGCGGCTCCCCGTCCCCCACAGCCCGTCTGGCAGAACCGGTGCTCAGGAAGGGAGGGGCCGGCATGAGAGGCGTTATCTCCAGCCTCATCCCACGGAACAGGAATGGCCAAGCAGACAGCTGAGGAAGTGGCCGCTCCACGCCCCACAGGGGGTACGCGTTAACTGCCAGGCCGGGGCCTGGGTGGGCAGGGTCAGCACAGGATGAGCGTCCCCTGAAGCTGACTTGTTTGCTTCCCACTACAGCCTCGGAAGGTGGGCTCTGAGCCACCTGCTTCTGCAGCTGAGGGCACAGAGGCTAAAAGAGGCGGCCCAGGATCACATCCCCAGCGACTGACAAAGCAGGATATAAACCCAGGGCTGTACGACTGCAGAGTCAGAGCCATGAGCCATCACCTTGGTTCACAGGCCACAGATCCCGGAAAGCCTGGCAGGTGGAGCCCCCCGGGGCTGCGGGGCCAGCGGCACCCTGCGATGTACCCGAGGCACCCACCATGTCTCTGGCATGGGCCAGGCGCTGGGCATTGCAGGGGACTTACAGACTGACATCTGACAGTCACCACAGTGATGATGACTCAGTGTCACCAGGAGAGGGTGTGTGTGTGGCGGGGCAAGGTAGGGAAGGGGACTGGCCGCAGGAAGATGACAGTCAAGCTCGGTGGGAATGAAGAATGGGAGTAGTCAGTGGGCGAGACGGTTCCGGGCCGAGCGAGGGAACTGCATGGGTGGGGAGCGAACATGCTCCAGGTTTCCTTGGCTGCCACAAGCCTCTGAGCAGAGCCTTTGAGGAGCTCCCTCCCACTCCATGAGCTTTGAGGACTTGACCAAGGCTTGTCCCATGTCCTGCCAGGTCTGTGATAAGGGAAAACGGCAGACCTGGGCTCACCCCCCTCACTCTCTGTGCACCTGCAGCTGGGGTTGACCACTGCATCCTCATTAGTAAAGCGCAGGTGCACCAGCCACTCACTCATGGGCGCCTGGGAGCAGTCAGCGAGGGAAGCCTCGCAAGGGCCTGGCCCCGGCGGGCGGGGGGGGGGGTGGGGCAGTCCAAGAGATGTGTCTCGTCCGATGGAGACACCGAGGAGCTAGAGAGACTTAGTCACCAGGGTGCTCTGGCCCTGTAAGGAGGGCGAGCTCCAGCAACCTCCCACAGCCCCAAGGCCGGGACAAACAGAAAAGGTCAGGGCTAGGGAGGGAGGGAGGGAGAGTCCCCACCCCCGACAGACACAGGCAGCGACCCTCAGGAAGCAGGTGCCACAGGGGCACAAGAGCCCTGGGTTGGGCCATCAGCCACACAGCTCCACTCACTCACTCACGCACTCACTCACTCTCACTCACTCGTTCGTTCATTCATTCATTGATTCATTCATTCAAATAACTGAGCTCCAGCTGTGTGCCTGATCCTGCTCTATGCACTGGCCCCACAGCAGTGACCTCTGGGAGCAGAAAGATGAGGGTCCGACAGATGAGAAAAATACATGGTCGTAGAAAGGAAGAACTAAAACTACCTCTACCGGCAGATGACTTGATATGTATGTAGAAAATGCTAAGAAATTCACTAAAATGCTATGAGAACATATGAGTTCAGCAAAGTTTCAGGATACAGGCCCAATATACAAAAATCAATTATTTCTATACACCAGCAAGTATCCACAATGAAATGAAGAGTATTTTATTCAAAAAGAATCAAATATGTAGGTATAAATTTAACAATAGTATAAAACATATACTCTGGAAAACTACAAAACATTGTTGAAAAAATTCAAGAAGATCTAAATAAATGGAACGATATCCTGCGATCATGGATCAAAAGATTTAATATTGTTTAGGTGACAATACTCCCAAATTGATGTAAAAATTCAGCACAGTCACTACCAAAATCTCAGCTGGTTTCTTTGTAGAATTTTGACAAAATGAACACAAACCTTGGAAAATCAAAGGACCAGAATAGTTAAAACAATCTAGCAAAAGTAGAACACAAATAAAGAATTCATGTCTTCATTGCAAAACTTTTACTGAACGATAATCAAGACAGTGTGGCTGTGGCATAAGGATAGACACATGCATAGATCAATGGAATAGAACTGAAAGTCCAAAAATAAACCTTCGCATTTATGGTCAATTGATTTCCAAACATGAGTGTCAGTGGGGGAAAGAATGTTGTACCCAAAGTTGCTGGGACAACTGGATATTCACATGCAAAAGAACAAACTAGGACCCATTTATCACAGCATATAAAAAAGTTAACTCAAAATGAATCAAAGACCTAAGTTTAAAAGCTAAAACTATAACATTCTTAGAAGACACAGGGCGGACTCTTTGCGATACAGGATTAGGTAGCAGTTTCTTAGCTATGACATGAAAGGTACAAGTGACAAAAGAAAAATTATAGATGTGTTAAATTTCATCAAAATTAAAAATATTTGTGATTCAAAGAACATCAAGAAAATGAAAAGACGCCCTAACTGGTGTGGCTCTGCGGGTCAGGCACCTTCCTGCAAACTGAAGGGATTCAGTCCGATTCCCAGTCGGGGCACCTGCCAGGTCCCTGGTTGGGGATGTGCGAGGGGCAACCAGTTGATGTTTCTCTCACACATTGATGTTTCTCTCCCTCTTTTTCTCCCTTCCTTCCCCCTTTCTAAAAATAAGTAAGATTAAAAAAGAAAAGAAAGTGAAAAGATAACCCACAGTACAGAGGAAAATATTTGCAAATCACATATGCGATCATTGTAGCTAGAATATATAAATAGTACAACTCAGTAATAAAAAGACTATATAACCCAATTTAAAAAATGGGCAAATGATCAGAGTAGACATTTCTCCAAAGAAGGTATACAAATGGCCAATAAGCACATGAAAAGATGCTCAACATCATCAGCTACCAGGGAAACATAAATCAAAACTATAATGAGTTACCACTTCCCACCCATTAGGATGGCTATAATCAAGAAAGATAATAACAAGTGTTAGCAAGACTGTGAGAAACTGGAACCCTCATACGCTGCTGATAGGAATGCCAAGTGGTAAAGCCACTTTGAAGAACAGTCTGGCAGTTCCTCCAAAGGTTAAATATAGAGTTACCCTATGATTCAGCAATTCCCCCACTAGGTATCTATGCAAGAGAAATGAAAACATCCATCTGCACAAAACGTGTGCACGAATGTACACAGCAGTATTATTCATAATAGCCAAAAAGTGAGAGCAACCCAAATGTTCATCAACTGAGGAATGGATATATAAAATGTGGTATATAATACAACGGAATCTTACTCTGTAATCCAAAGAAACGAAGTGCTTACCCGTGCTACGATGTGGATTAACCTTGAAAACATTATGCTAAGTGAAAGAAGCCAGTCACAAAGAACAACATATTGTATGATTCCGTTGTTATGAAATGTCCAGAACAGGCAAATCCGTGAGAGACAGAAAGCAGACCGGTGACTGCCGGGGGACGGGGCCATGGGGAATGACAGCTAATGTGTACGGCGTTTCTCTTTGGGGTGATGAAATGTTCTAAAATTGATTGTAGCGATGGTCACACATCTCTGAATATACTAAAAACCACTAAATTGTACACTTTAAATGGGTGGACTGTGTGGTGTGAAGTACATCCAAAAAAAAAAAATCTAATACAAAAAAAGAAACAAAAGAACCCACAAGGTAAGTGAGACAGAGAGAAATGGAGAAGACGGAGCAGGAAAGGGAAGGTGCAAGGAGTGCTGGGCAGAGATGAGAAGGCGGGCCTGCCACCCGCTGGGCGGGCAGCTGGGGCGAGCCCTCAGGGCAGCGACACCTGCGCAGGGCCTGGAGTTGGGGGGCCCTCCGCTGAGGGCTGAGCAGAGCCGGGAACAGCTGTCTAGACGCGAGAGCTTCCAGCGCAAAGGCCCTGAGGCAGGGACTCGCTAGGCAAATGGAAAAGCAGCACAGAGGCTGAATGGACTAGGGGGAGAACAGACGGGATGTGGTTGGCAAGGGGGCAGGGACCAGGTCAGGCTGGACCTCCGGCCGGACTTTGTATCTTATTCGCACAGGGGCTCCGTCTGCCGCTGTGAATTCTGGCCTGAGGGCTGACAGCCCTGGTGGAGGTGGGTGGAGGGGCGGAGAGTGGAAACACTTCCGAGGCAGCCAGAGGCC